ACAAATTATAATGGGCAGACGGACGGACGAACGGACACACAGATCGACTCAGCTAGTCGAGATATGACGATCGGTATACTTAAAGGTGGGTCTAGGACCAATATTTCGGGCTGCACAAAGCTATAATACCCTGACAACATAGTTGTGTAGGGTATAACCAGTAAGGAAAGTTGTAAAGTCGAACTGGACCGACTATATGATACCCTTCACCCTTACAATTGCATGTCAATGTTCCCTCGAAGGAACATACTCATGTCTATCTGCAAACTCTGATACATTTAATTTCATTCGGGCATATTTCTGCGTACCATAAGTCAAATTTATGGAAAAAGATTTATAGCAAAATTGATACACGCTATTCGATAAATCGGACGAAAATTGAGTATACTATGCAAAATTTCGCTCAAATCGAAAGATATATAGGGACTTTGGTGCGTCATTTCCATAAAATCGGACAAAACTATATATGGGAGCTATATCTAAATCTGAACCGATTTTCACGATATTTAACATACATCGTTCTAGGCCTAATTCAGTACGCTACACCAAATTTCGTGCAAGTCGAAAGATATATAGGGACTTCGGTTCACCGTTTACATAAAATCGGACGAAAATATATAAGGGAGCTATATCTAAATCTGACACAATTTTCTCGAAACTTGGCACACGTCATTCTAGACTCATTTGAGTATAATATGCAACATTTACATAAAATCGGACAAAACTATATATGGGAATTATATCTAAATCTGAACCGATTTTCAGGATATTTAACACACATTGTTCTAGGCCTAATTCAGTACGCTACACCAAATTTCGTGCAAATCGAAAGATATATAGGCACTTTGGTGCCCTATTTACCTAAAATCGGACGAAAATATATATGGGAGCTATAGCTAAATCTGCACCGATTTTGAATCAAATTCAATAGGGTTCGTCCTTGGGCCAAATAAGTGACTTGTGCCAACTTTCATCCAAATCGGATCATAAATGCGACCTGTACTTTGTTTACAATTTAACACCAACAGACGGACGGAGGGACGGACATGCATAAATCGACTTAGAAAGTGATTCTATGCATATTCTCAAAAGGAACCATGTGTCTATCTCGTTTCCTTTTTCCTGTTACAAACATATGCACAAAGACATAATACCCTGTAGCACAGTGTGGTGAAGGGTATAAAAAGAACTATAAAAAATGGGTTGAGGCGTCGGGTTAGTTGCCCACACTCGGAAAACCCGACCTACTATGAAAAAGCTAAGAAAACCAAACCCCTCTAATGTTGACGACCCCCGCAAACGTATAAAGTACCACGATCTGCTACTCTGCAATTGGAATGTGCGCACATTGTACAGAACAGGCGCAGTTTTCGCTTTGGCGGATGTGCTCAAGAAGTACAAAGCCGATATTATTGCCTTACAGGAAATGCGATGGAAAGGGACAGGCTGCCATGAAACAAGACATTCTTTTATATCAGTCTTATTTGCGTCCATGCTCCGACCGAAGACATATTTTACGAGCGCCTAGAAACAGCATATGATCGCTGCCCTGCCATTAAAATTCTGCTAGGAGATTTTAATGCACAAATCGGAAGGAAAAAAATGTCTTTGGCCCAACCGTCGGAAAATTCTGCCTTCATAATAAAGAAACATCCGACAACGGCATGACGTTGATTGACTTCGCGGCAGCAAAAAAAAAAGGCAACTTATTCAAGCTTCTCGATATACACAAGGCCACGTGGATCTCTCCTGATCAGGCAACGAGAAACCAAATTGATTTTTTTTTTGTTTTAGACTTCCGATCGATCCGAGGAGCGAATATCGATTCGGACCACTACCTTGTAGCAGCCACGGTTCGCACTCGTCATAATGTAGCAGCAAATGTGCGATCTAATAAAACGCGGAAACTCGACGTCGAAAAGCTGCAAACACAACACCTGCTTGACGAAAGCACTTCTTGTCCCGATAATAGTATAGAAGCACAATGGCAAAAAATTGCCCACTTCCTACAAACTGCAGCAAAAGCAACACTTGGATACCCAAAAACCACCATCAAGAAACCCATAGTACGATCAGGAGTGTCGTAATGCTACCGATATGAAAAACGTAATGTGATGGAGAATTATCGGGTGAAAAGGAGAAACTTATTCTCAGAAAAAAAGAAGAAAGAACAAGAAAAACGTGAGCGAGATGTACAGGAGTCAGAATGATGTCCGGAAATTTTATCAACGAGTAAAATACCAAACCGAATGCTTTGGCGCAGGCAGATAGCCTGCTGAGGATCTGGAAGGAGCATTTTGAAAAGCTTCTGGTATCAAATAGTGGCGGTGAAGAAGATACCCAAGAACCAATAAGACATGGCGGTATAGAATGTATACCACCTAGCCATGATGAGGTCCGAATAGCTATTAATCGGCTGAAGAACAAAAAATCAGCAGGAGCGATGGGTTACCAGCCGAACTATTCAAGACTGGTGGTCAGATGCTTGTCAAGAGTATGCACCAGCGGATTAGTACAATTTGGCCAGAGGAATGCATGCCCAATGATTGGATCGTCAGCATCCTGTGTCCCGTGCACAAAAAAATAGACAAGACGATATGTGCCAATTATAGAGGAATAAGTCTCCTTCCCATCGCATATAAAATGCTATCCAGTGTGATGTGTGAATGACTGAAGCCAATGGTCAATGACATTATTGGACCATACCAATGGGGCTTTAGGCCTGGCAAATCCACCATTGACCAGATTTTCACTCTGCGTCAAATCCTGGAAAAGACCCACGAAAAACACATCGACACATTTCACCTATTCGTCGACTATAAAGCCGCATTTGACAGCCCTATCCGTTCAGAGGTGTTTAAAGCCATGTCTACGTTCGGCACAGGGTCAGCAGTTAATGTCGGAAAGGATATATCGGAACCCTTCAATACCGAACGAGGATTCAGACAAGGTGATAGTTTGTCGTGTGACCTTTTTAACATCCTACTGGGAAAAGATCATAAGAGGGTCAAAGGTGAAGAGAATGGTTCTCTGTACACCAAATAACACATGTTATTCGCCTACGCCGATGACATCGATGTAATGGGTCGAACATTGCGAGCGGCAACAGCCGCCTTTGAACAAATTGAGAAGGAGTCTGCCAAAGTGGGTCTGGCAGTAAACGGCGAGAAGATCATGCTGATGGTATCATCGCGCAAGATGTCCAGTAGACTACGACCAACTATGGAGCTTGAGAAATACACATTCGAGGTAGTTAAAGATTTTATATACCTTGGTACCGCCATAAATAAAACTAATGACAGTATTGGCCAACAGATGCTACTAAGGTCTAAGTAAGCAGTTTAGAAACAAGGCCACCTCCCCCCGCCAGACCAAACTCACACTTTACAAGGCGCTGATACTACCCGTGCTGTTATATGGATCTGAAGTATGGGTACTCGTGCAAGCTGATGAGGCAGCTCTTGGGGTGTTTGAGAGAAACATTCTCCGAAAGATCTACGGGCCGATCTGCGTCGACGGTGAAATATATATTTTTTAAAATATCCACGTCTATTAGAATACTTCAAAAAAAATTTTAAGATATCCACGCCCATTAGATTGAAAAAAATATTTTGGAAAATATTTGAATTAAAAATATTTTGAAAAAATTCACCCCTTAGGATGCTTAAAAAAATCTACGCGTATTAGGATGATCTAAATAAAAACTTTACGCCTATTAGGGTGCTTAAAAAACTACGCTTATTAGAATGCTTGAAGAATATTTTTTAAAAAATCCACCTCTATTAGCAGGCTTGAAAAAATATTTTTACAAAATCTGAGCCTGTCTAGATGATTGAAAAATATTTTTAAAAAATCCGAGCCTGTCTAGATGATTGAAACAATATTTTTACAAAATCCACGCCCATAAGAATTTTTCAATATAAGAAATAAGAAACACGCCTATAAGTTTAAGGGTTTAATTTAAAATTTCACATCGAACCTATAACTCCACGTCTTCTACATCTGACCTCATTTTGGATACGTATTGGGAGCATAGGGCTTCCACAAATTATCACCATCTTACTCGATTAGTCCTTATGTATGCTAAAGAGATGAGTGATCTGCTCTAGCCTGTTTTAAGTGATGGGGCTGCCATCTATCGCTGCCTAGAGACAATGTCTTTTTTAATTTTTGTACAGTGGTTGAGGTCAATGATTTACAGTGTGGCAATTCCCCACTAGGTGGCGCTATTTTGTTGAATGTTTTTTACTACATTTCCAAGCCCAGTTTGAAAAACAATCTTCTCCGTCAATGGGATTCGAACACAGACAGTTCAAATCGATAGCAGTCCATGATGCTGGAGAGGAGTAATGCCTCAAGAGTCTATGACACTAACAGCGAAAGTTACATCTTTATCTGAGTCCACCTATTTAGTTTATATGCTTCGAGTGCACTTATTGATGACTTTGGTCAGGTAAACCATGGAACATAAAATCACTTTCACTTGTTTTATATATTTGATGGATCAGATATTCGGTTAAAGGCACGGTCGCGGATCGTTTGCAAATTTTTACCTTATATAAGACGACGATATACTTTTTTACACCAAAGTTCTGCTGGAACTCTTGTATTTTCCCATGGTTATTAAAATTCGTAAAGGCAATGTGTCATTTGAAAGCCTAAGGGCCTCAATGATTACACGTATGGTAAAATTTTCAAGAGGATTCGCAGCCTGACCCTATATTGACTTGTTTCCTAATTTTTTCGCACGGCATATACCAGTGTTCGGGTTCAGATTGCTTGCGATCACATTTTGAAAATTGCGATAACATACTGACATTTGATATGCCTATTTTATGCACCTATTTCATACCCTATGACTAAGATTCATAAAAATTTCCTTTTTTCAAAAATTCAAGAAATTATTCAGATCAACCTCTTTTTTATTGTGTGTCTCTAATTAGAAGGGCATAATAATGACAGAGGCAAAAATCACGCCTCCCCTCTGCATAGAAACTTACCTCAATGTTGCCCATCGTTTGGAACGATGTAAAGACGAACATAAAGCCAAAGCCCAAAATGAGTACATTGACAAATTTGATATCCATGTTTGACGACGGTGATGAGGATGCTGCTAATGTTGTAGTTGTTGTTGTTGTTTTTTACAAGCAATAATTATAACTTCCTGTTACTGGGGATTTTATGAGGCGCGTCTTAAATTTCTTTGTCTAAATTTATTTTTGTTTATTTATCTGCAAATTATTATTTTTATTTTATTTTACAGATCATTTCTAAACTCAAACACATATTAAGGGTATAGACACACACACATTCATATGCCGACGATATGACTGGGCTCCAAAACAATAACAAATATGCGGTTTGACATCCGGGTAATACGACAACAACTATGTATGTGCGTTGTGATAATTAGTTGTGTATTTGAAATTATTTTTATTTAAATATTTATTTGAAATATTCAATTCAATATTTAATTTTATTTTACAAAAAAATATGCACTTTCTTTTAATGGTTGTGAGTTGCGGCGGCTCCACCCGTACAAAATCACGTAATTGACAAATGATTTCAATTCTTATTTGTTTTTGTTTTTTTTTTTTCTAATAAGAATTCCGTTTTAAACAACGACGATTGTGTTACAAATGTAGGGCGTAAATTTATTATAATTTTTTTTCTTGTTTTCTTTCTCTCTTTCTTCTTACTTTAATTCACTTGTTTGTTGTTGCAATATAAAACACAACGATAATGCAAAAAATCATGTGAATGAAAAGAAATTAACTTAGCATTCAATTGAAAAACACATTTCTTTATGCAGCGATGCGCGCAACACAGAATTAAAAACAAATTGAAGCGAATCCGAATCAACGACGGGCGATATACACACGACAGACACGTTGGAGCATTCAAAGCAAAATGAGCCAGCGACAATCATAGTGAACGGCTACAATTGTGTGCTAATAAAGGTAGCCAGTCAACGTGACGTTGGCGTCGACGTCGCCGCTGCTGACGCCATCCATTGTTGTGTACACAAAACAAACAAACAACAACAAATCAAGTTAAAAGAATTCTACAAATCCACTTGCAATGTCAGTGCCCTACCCCTCATAGCAATGTTTGAATGATTGGTGTTTAGTAGTAGGTGCCCTATACAACAAGTATGGAATGGAGAACAGACAACCAAAACAAAAAGATACAAAAACAAATCTAACAAGAAAAAGTCACTACTCGCCTCCTCCCCCATCAATTTAGTTTAGTTTGTTTTATCATGTCTTCTTTGCTGGTATTTCTTGTGGCTCTCTGTTTGTATTTTTTAGTTATTTTCTCAGAGCATAGGTGCCCATCAGTATACTTTAAAGTAGCTGCCTACTCACACGCATTGTTATGCTCTTTCAGTCAGTCGTTGTTTGACAGGCAACAAATGAACACATGCTGGGGTGCCCGCACGACTCCGTGTCCGCACAACTAGAAAATCGACGAAATAACACTTAGGGTTAAAAGTGTTTCAGTATATTTGGATTTTTATTTTATTATTCAAAATGCGTTTTGTATGTTTAAAAACAACAGAACAATTGCTGTTTTTTTGAAAGAATTAAATATTTGATAATTATCGTAGTATTTACTATTAATATTTAATATTACAATATGATTATTATCTCGGTATATGCTACTTTATATTCTTTTTTAGATTTTTGTGACATATACAATTTGTAATTCATATAAAAACATTTTTAATAATGATTTCAATTATATAATAACAAAAGTTAAATTCTTCAGTAATTTTTCCGACCACCAAAATGTACACACAATTTTGTTCGGTACTGTTCTGTTTTCTCTCACACATACTAACGCATTTTAATTTTGGGCACCTATGTCTCAGAGGCTCCAAATCATAGGTGCCCAAAATTAAAATGCGTTAGTATGTGTGAGAGAAAACAGAACAGTACCGAACAAAATTGTGTGTACATTTTGGTGGTCGGAAAAATTACTGAAGAATTTAACTTTTGTTATTATATAATTGAAATCATTATTAAAAATGTTGTTATATGAATTACAAATTGTATATGTCACAAAAATCTAAAAAAGAATATAAAGTAGCATATACCGAGATAATAATCATATTGTAATATTAAATATTAATAGTAAATACTACGATAATTATCAAATATTTAATTCTTTCAAAAAAACAGCAATTGTTCTGTTGTTTTTAAACATACAAAACGCATTTTGAATAATAAAATAAAAATCCAAATATACTGAAACACTTTTAACCCTAAGTGTTATTTCGTCGATTTTCTAGTTGTGCGGACACGGAGTCGTGCGGGCACCCCAGCATGTGTTCATTTGTTGCCTGTCAAACAACGACTGACTGAAAGAGCATAACAATGCGTGTGAGTAGGCAGCTACTTTAAAGTATACTGATGGGCACCTATGCTCCAAATTCATTGAGATAGAGAGAGAGTGAGAGAGAGAGCTTGATTTGTTTTTGTTTTCCATTGGCTCCCCAATTGTTGCAAGACAGATAGGGCATATTTCTTAGAATTAAATTCTTCTTTCTCTGCACTTCTTTGTAAACATATATTTCTTTTATTTGTTATTAATTTTAAAACAATAAAAACAACAATTTAATAACAATTTCTTTGATTGTTATTCTTTCCACTTCTGCCCCACATACATATGTGCGATAAAACCGTTATTTGTCACATCTAAACAACTTACTTGTTTCTCTGAACACTTCCCAAACATATAACAGAAAAAAGTGTTGGTAAGCGTTAAATCTGTTTACTGGTATTTATTTAGTGTTGACATCAAAACAAATGCAAATATTGAAGTAAATAGAACTTATCTGCGCGAAAAATTACCATATATTTTAATAGATAATCTCTTGAGTATAGATTAGACGGAAATTAGTGTGATAAGGGTTTGTTGACCTAACATTTTAATTGCAACAAATAAAAAGGGAATTATTTGCATAGTGAGTTCAGTGACATACACCGTGACTATATAGGTCTTAATAATGCACTATAATCTTTTAATGTACTAAAAGACACCCCGATTTCATTTCTGAATATGACAGAGGATTTACGATATCGGTGTTAGATATTAAAAATCATCACCTTTCATTCGAAATGGATAGAATTTTTTTAAACATAGCACAATTTTTTGATGCATCTCCTGTGTAAAGGTCGCGAACCATTTACGTTATCTTAAAGATTCGAATTTTCTTTCTTCCGGGAAAAGGTCACAGTCAGGATATTTATATATGTTTCCTCAAAAGTCGTATTATTTAAATATTTTTCATAGGAATGAATGCCCAATGATTAGAACCTCATCATCCAACGATATGTGCCAACTATAGAGGAATAAGTCTCCTCCCCATCGCATATAAAGTGCTATCCAGCGTGCTGTATGGACGATTGAAGCCAGTGGTCAATGACATTATTGGATCATATCAATGCGGCTTCAGGCCTGGCAAATCTACCATTGACCAGATTTTCACTCTGCGCCATATCCTGGAAAACCCGCCAAAAAACACATCGACACATTCCACCTATTCGTCGAATATAAAGCCGCATTCGACAGCCCTTTCCGTTTAAAGCTATGTCTGCGTTTGGCATTCCTGCAAAATTAATACGGCTATGTAGGATATCTTTAACTGGTACAATGTCAGCAGTTAAAGTAGGAAAGGACCTCTCGGAGCCCTTCAATACCGAACGAGGATTCTGACAAGGTGACAGTTTGTCGTGTGACCTATTTAACATCCTGCTGGAAAAGGTCATACGAGATGCAAATGTAAACAGAAATGGTACTCTGTACACCAAACAGCATATATTACTCGCCTACGCCGACGACATCGACATAACGGGTCGAACATTGCGAGCGGTAACAGCAACCTTTCAACAAATTGAGAAGGGGTCTGACATAGTGTGACTGGAAATAAATGGTGAAAAGACCAAGCCGATGTTATCAACACGCTAGACGTCCAGTAGACTCGAACCAAACGTGGAGCTTGAAAACTACATCTTCGAGGTAGTGAACGATTTTATATACCTCGGTACCAACATAAACAAATCTATTAACATACGCTTTGAAATCCGGAGGAGAATAGTGTTGGGCAAGAGATGCTACAATGGTCTAAGAAAGCAATTCCGAAACAAGGCCACCTCTCGCCAGATCAAACTTACACTCCACAAGACGCTGATATTACCCGGGCTGTGGTATGGTGTTTAAGAGAAAAATTCACCGGAAGATCTATGGGCCGATCTGCGTCGATGAGAAATATCACCGTCGAATGAACCATGAGCTATACCATCTTTTCTCGGACATCGACATAGTCAGACGAATCGAGCTGCAGCGACTACTTTGACTAGACCATCTTGTGAGAATGGATGAAGATACCTAAGCTCAAAAGGCATATAAAAGCGAGCTAAGTGATGGTTTACGCAGAAGGGGAAGATGAAAATATCAAGAAGAAGACAACGCGCCTGGAAATCTTTTTTAAGTTCGGCTTATGGAACAATTGTTCTGTCATGAGCCAGCTAAGTAAGTAAGCGTGGATATTTTTTTAAATATATATTTTAATTGATTTTTTAATTTGTATTTTTAAATATTTTCTTTTTTAATTACGTTTAGTATAAATCGCCCTTAAAGCCAAGATTTTCTAAAGAATATTTTTAAAAGGGCTGTACTTACGATTTTTATATATTTTGTGTTCTATTCCTTCATTATATATTAAATCAATATTTTATTTAACTATTTCAAATGTTTACCTGAATGGTTTAGTATAAATCACCCTTAATTTAGGTATTTTACAACTCTAAATATCCGTTTCCCTTTTAATGTTGTTAAATGCAACAAAACATCAAAATTCAAACGTTTACCAACACTTGACACCCCCAGCGCCTATAAATAGGCAACATAAAACATAACAACAGACGGCACACAACACCTGAGGCATCCAACAGAGTAAATTGAGAGACGACGATACAGAAACACTTCGACAAGGCAGCGGCGGAACTCAATAAAATCGGACGAAAGAATAACATTCCAGTAAACAAAAAGTTTTGCAAAAAATATTTATTAAGCGGTTGTGATTGAATGTGAGCAAAAAATACAGCAACAATAAGAAACATTAAAGAATACAGACAGGCAGACAATTAAATTTGTGTGCAAAATAAAATTTCCATTGAGTAAATAATCTATTCTGCAGCAGGAAGGTAAGAAGGTTTGTTGTTAACGGCTGACCTGTCAGATAGTAACCATAACTATTTTTTTACTACATAATTTAATTAATGACGATGACAACAACGACTATGTGTAGAACATTGTTTGGCATCCATCCCCCCTCGGGTGCTGGAACAAATATTCTCAGCAACAAGGTCACGCACCCATCTTCTTCCATAGCCCACTGGGAAAACGTGCGGAGGAATATCGCCGTCTAACCGCAAAAGCGATGACTACCACAGACAATCATAATTTATTACGAAGCCTCATCAACGCCGCCGAGAAAGCAGCCAACATAGCCCGCATTTGCCGTTCGAATCAACAATTGTTGTCGCTATTGGTACGGGAGAAAACGGGCGATGAAGCCAATGCCAGATTTGAACATGATTTTAAGACATTGGCTGATGTGCTCATACAGGAGGCCATCAAATACGATGTTGGCAATGAGGTATGTATTTCAATGTTGTTGTTGTTGCTTTTTGCCTTTTGTATGCGTTCGGATATAAATAAACTTAGCTATAGATAGGCATAATGTTCCCCCTTTGTTGATTTTTTACAGTTTCCAGAAATGAAGGATAACATACGGGGTGAGGAGTCCCCCAATTTTACCAATGCCAATGGAGAAAATATTGAAATTGTTGTGGGCCTTACTGCCACAGAGACCGAGGCATGTCTGCTTGCCATACTACAAGAGGAACACCAAGAAGCGGCAAAAATATTAGCCGAAGAAGTTCATCGTCAGGTGACATTTGATAAGGAACTGAATGAAGAAATTCCCGAGTTGCCAAATGATGTGGACTATTCGCAGCTGGGAGTGTGGATAGATCCAATAGGTGGGTGTTTTTAGATTTCATAGAGATTTTAAAAAGGGATCTCTGAAGTCCAATCTAGAAGTTTCTTCCTGTTTTCTCCTTGAAAATATATTTTTTAAACCCAAGCCTTGAAAAATATATATTTTTTTTTAAAAATCGACACTTTGAAAAATATGTTTTGAATATTGAAACATATTTTTTAAAATATTCACGCCTTGACAAATATTTTTTTTAATATTGGAACATATATTTTTAAAATATTCACGCCTTGAAAAATATATATTTTTTTAAATATCAAGCCGTTAAAAATATTTTTTTTAATATCACGCCTTGAAAAATGATTTTTTTTTAAATATCACGCCTTGAAAAATATTTTTTTTTTAAATATCACGCCTTGAAAAATAATTTTTTTAAATATCACGCCTTGAAAAATATTTTTATTTTAAAAATCTACGCCTTGAAAAATATTTAAAAAAACGCCTTGAAAAATATATTTTTTAAACCCACGCCTATGAATAGGCTTGCAAAATATTTTTAAAAATCCAAGCCTATAAGTAGACTCAAAACATATTTTCAAAGAATCCACATCTGTAAATAGACATGGATTTGGATGCTTAAAAAAATATTTTAAAAAATCCCAACCACGCCTATAAATATATTTGAAAAATTATTTTTTAAAAGTTCACTAATCTAACATTTTTTATCCCAAAACAGATGCTACGGCAGAATATATATCTGGCGACACCATGTTTACAAATTTCCCTGGCATAACCTCAACGGGACTGGATTGTGTTACTGTACTAATCGGGGTGTATGACACCACCACAGGAGTTCCAGTTATTGGTGTAATCTGTCAACCTTTCCGCAACAAACTGCAAGAAAATGTCTACACCTCGGCAATGTTTTGGGGTATAGCTCTACCAAATTTGCAGATTCATTGCAATGCATTAGCAAATACCTCCTCGGATCGGGGACGCCTTTTGGGTATATTTTCCAGTTCGGAACGTGCTGAACTTCTTCAACAAATGTTAGAATTAGGTTATGAATTTGCCTTCTCAGCGGGAGCTGGCCATAAGGCCCTTAAAGTTATTACCAATGAAGTGGATGCCTATGTTTTGAGTAAGGGGTCAACCTTTAAATGGGATACCTGTGCACCGCAAGCAATTTTACGTTCTCTCAATGGTGATATTATTGAATTTCAATCTAGCATTCGAGAGGGTAAACCAATACCATTGAAATATATCCCGAATGAAGAGGAGTCAGAGAATGCCGAGGAGGAGACCACGGTCGATTGGAAATGTAATCGCCATGGTTTAATTGCGGTACGCGATATTAAATTATTCGATGATCTATTGCAGAAGTTGGCGAATAGTTAAATATTTTAAAAATCATTAGAGTATAGGATAATTTATTGTTGACATGGTCCAGAGTTTCCTAAAGAAAAAATATTTTTGATGATTGTGTAAAAGAAAATAACAATAAAAAATAAAATATATGTATTATTTATATAAATGTAGTTATTTATAACTAAATAAAAAAAACAACAAATAAATGTCTATATACATATAAAACAATTATGGGTTATGTATTTTTAAAAATCTAACCTTGGAAGGCCACGAATCAGATGGAAAGACCAAGTAGAAAACAACATCTTTGAAGGTGGTCTTTCAAATTGGCGGAGTTGCGCACAAGACCGACGCGCTTGAAAATCCCTTTTAAGCTCGTCTTATGGAACAACCGTTCTTTAACAAGCCAGCTAAGAAGAAGAAACTTGGAGTCTCTGGAAAAACTATTTTTTAAAAAATCCACGCTTAGAAGCCTTCAAGTCTCTGGAAAAACTATTTTTTAAAAAATCCACGCTTAGAAGCCTTCAAGTCTCTGGAAAAACTATTTTTTTAAAAAATCCACGCTTAGAAGTCTTCAAGTCTCTGGAAAAACTATTTTTTAAAAAATCCACGCTTAGAAGCCTTCAAGTCTCTGGAAAAACTATTTTTTAAAAAATCCACGCTTAGAAGCCTTCAAGTCTCTGGAAAAACTATTTTTTAAAAAATCCACGCTTAGAAGCCTTCAAGTCTCAGGAAAAATATTCTTAAAAAAAATCCACGCTTAGAGGTCTTGTAGTCTTTGGAAAAATATTCTTTAGAAAATCCACGCTTAGAGGTCTTGTAGTCTTTGGAAAAATATTCTTTAAAAAATCCACGCTTAGAGGTCTTGTAGTCTTTGGAAAAAATATTCTTTAAAAAATCCACGCTTAGAGGTCTTGTAGTCTTTGGAAAAATATTCTTTAAAAAATCCACGCTTAGAGGTCTTGTAGTCTTTGGAAAAATATTCTTTAAAAAATCCACGCTTAGAGGTCTTGTAGTCTTTGAAAAATATTCTTTAAAAAATCCACGCTTAGAGGTCTTGTAGTCTTTAAGTCTCTGTAGTCTTGTAGTCTCTGGAAGAATATTCTTTAAAAAATCCACGCTTAGAGATCTTGTACTTTCTGGAAGAATATTCTTTAAAAAATCCACGCTTAGAGATCTTGTACTTCCTGGAAAAATATTCTTTAAAAAATCCACGCTTAGAGATCTTGTACTTTCTGGAAAAATATTCTTTAAAAAATCCACGCTTAGAGGTCTTGTAGTCTTAGGAAAAATATTCTTTAAAAAATCCACGCTTAGAGGTCTTTTAGTCTCTAGAAAAAATATTCTTTAAAAAATCCACGCTTAGAGGTGATGAAGTTTGTGGAAAAATATTCTTTAAAAAATCGACGCTTAGAGGTCTTTCAGTCTCTGGAAAAATATTCTTTAAAAAATCCACGTTTGGAGGTCTCGGCCCTGGTAGCACTGGCATTCGACAGCCCATAATTAAAAATGACTCACATATGATTGTTGTTGGTTTTGGTTTTTCGAGAGATTTTTTTATTTGAATTTAAATACAAAGTTGTTTTTTTATTTTTAAATAAAAGAAATTGGTTAATGATGGTATGACTCAAATTCGAACAAGAGATACAAATTTAAAATTAAAACATTTGAATCATAAAATACATTTAGCTGCTTAAAAGAAATAGAACACAATACAAAGACAAGAATCAATGAAGACAAAAAATATATATGAGGAAAACAGAATAAATATAAATTACAATAAGAAATTTTTTTTTATTAAATGGTTTTTTTTTCTTGTATTAAAATTATATATTGATGATTATTACAAAAATTGTTAACTTGCATTAATTTAAATTAATTAATTTATCTATGGTTTTATTGTACGTTAAAGACACATTTAGTTTGTTTGTGCTGGTTGTTGTATTGTATTTGTAAATCTGTATAATTATGTTGTGTGTATGTATGTATGGCTTACATAGTCCTGGTGTTGTAAACAAATAATGAAAAAAAAACTAAATTAAACCTCTACAAAAATGTTAGTTTAAAACAACTAAATATTCGCATTGGCTTTACTGTTTGTTGGCTGTTTGTTTTATTCTCTTGTATGAAGTATATATAAAAATTAGCTTGTAAATAAAACTATACAAAAAATAAAATTTGATAATGGAGGCCCTTTCTACCACACTCAAAAGTGCATGCTTCTTCTTGTATAATCATTGACTGTGACTGTTATAAAAATTCCTGCTTTACTTTGTTTTCAATTGTTTTAAGGCACTAGAGTTTTAGTTCGGTTTGTATGCTTGTGTGTGTTGTTTCTTTTTTTTAGAAAAAATATCGTTTAGCTTCCTTTTTATGCTTGGCTTTTAAAGGAGGCCGGCCACTTGTTTTCCTCCGCCCCCTCACTTTACATCTTCTTACTCATGGTCAGTTCATGAGCGGTACGTAAACGTTTTCTCAGTTCACTGGGGAAACGTTCATAACATTTCTTGCACACTGGCTTCTCATCGTATTCATAGAATTTCGATTTTTGAGTCATTTTCATGTCACACACCGAACAGGCGAAATGATGAACACACCAGGCTTTGTTCAGGGCCGTAAATACTGGAAAAGAAAACAAAAATAATAAATATAAATTCAATATTCAATTTTAAATTCCAAACTTACCATCTCCAGCAATTACTTGATTGCACACAAAACACAAATTGCCAAACAATTGATGATAATGAGTTTCACAGTATGCCAGACCACGTTTCTCATAGTGACGATGTCCCAAAAAGGGTTTCTCACATTTGGCACAAACGAAATGCTGTCAAAATGAAAAAATAAAGAAAACGGATATTATCCAATTGCATTTAATTTTTGTTTTTTTGTTTCAATACTAACCTCAACGTGCCAATGTTTACCCAGCGCTGTAACAACGCGTTCTTCGATTGGCCGGCGACATGCGCCACAAATGGGTATGCCCATTTTATCATGACAACGTAGGCAATACAATTCATTCTGAAAAAAGATAATAAAAATGAAAAAATATGTATTATTAATATGCTTTGTGTAGACGCCCGTCGGTGGCAAGCTGAGGATAAGAAAATTGTAGTAGTCATAATAATTTCCTCATCGTTTCGTTTTTATAGGGAATTGATAAAAGTAATTTCTGGTTTTGGGATCTATAGATAGATGACGTATTTCTTCCAAAAATTCTCAAAGAAGTTGAATATTTTCACCAGAGACCCTAATCGTAGCAATTTTCAGTAGACCTCTAAGGGTGGTTATTTTAAATTATATTTTTGCAGAATAGCAGACCTTCTAGAGAGCATATTTAGTATATGACCTGGATTAAAAAATATTTTCGAGGGACTAACCGACCTATAAGAGATCAACTGGCGTGGATTTTTCAAAGGGCTAACAGACCTTCAAGCATGAATTTTTAATGATTTTTTTGAAAGATTAACATACCTCCAATCGTGGATTTTTTCAGAGAGACTTAACAGACCTAAAAACATTGATTTTTGAACGACATTGAAATTAGAGACTAGAAGATTTGCGTGGATTTTTTAAAGAGTAATTTTCCAGAGATAAGAAGATTTCTAATCGTGGATTTTTTAATGAATATTTTTTCAAAGACTAGAAGCAATTTAAGCGTGGATTTTTTAAAGAATATTTTTCCAGAGACTACAAGACCTCTAAGACTGAATTTTTCAAAGAATATTTTTCCGGAGACTAGAAGATTTCTAAGCGTGGATCTTTTAAAGAATATTTTCCCGAGACTAGAAGAAGATCTCTAAGCGTGAATTTTTTAAATAATATTTTTTCCAGAGACTACAAAACCTCTAAGCGTGGTTTTTTAAAGAATATTTTTCCAGAGACTAGAAGAAGATCTCTAAGCGTGGATTTTTTAAAGAATATTTTTCCAGAGACTACAAGACCTCTAAGCGTGGATTTTTTAAGAATATTTTTCCAGAAACTACAAGACCTCTAAGCGTGGATTTTTTAAAGAATATTTTTCCAAAGACTACAAGACCTCTAAGCGTGTTTTTTTTAAAGAATATTTTTCCAGAAACTACAAGACCTCTAAGCGTGGATTTTGTAAAGAATATTTTTCCAGAGACTACAAGACCTCTAAGCGTGGATTTTTTAAAGAATATTTTTTCTAGAGACTAAAAGACCTCTAAGCGTGGATTTTTTAAAGAATATTTTTCCCGAGACTACAAGACCTCTAAGCGTGAATTTTTTAAATAATATTTTTCCAGAGACTACAAAACCTCTAAGCGTGTTTTTTTTAACGAATATTTTTCCAGAAACTACAAGATCTCTAAGCGTGGATTTATTAAAGAATATTTTTCCAGAGACTACCAGACCTCTAAGCGTGGATTTTTTTAAATATTTTTCCAGAGACTACAAGACCTCTAAGCGTTGATTTTTAAAGAATATTTTTTCACAGGCTGTTGGATCTCCAATTGAGAATTTTTTTAAGAATATTTTTTACCGACTATCTAATCTCAATGTGTGGTTTTTTTAAATAATATTTTTTCACAGGCTGTTGGATCTCCAATTGAGAATTTTTTTAAGAATATTTTTTTACCGACTATCGAATCTCAAAGTGTGGATTTTTTAAAGAATATTTTTTTCACAGGCTATCGGATATCCAAATGTGGATCTTTTAAAAAATATTTTTTTCACAGGCTATCGGATCTCCAAGTGTGGATCTTTTAAAGAATATTTCCCCATACTAGAAGACCGCCAAAGTGACTTTTTAAAAAATATATTCCCAAAGTGTGATTTTAAGGAAATTTTTTTCCTCAACCTAACAGACCTCCCACAACCTAGCAGGCCTTAAACGTAGATATTTTATGTGTTGTGCATATTCGGAACCCAGTATTCGGGGGTTTAAATGACCCCCTTTTAGGTTTTGCTGAACTGTTGAACAAGTGATACGCTGGGCATATGTATCGTGCACAGTAGGAATTAAGTCGGTGTTTGTCTATACAACTCCTTCTCCTCTGCTGTAATGGATGGTCTTCGAGTATAGAATTCATACGGTTTTGTTCTACTCTCTGGACTGAATGTGATAATCCTCTTTATATACAGGTTCACGCTTGTGTCTTTGGACGGACCTCTCTCTAGATCATGAAGATCTCTACTGACGTGTCTGGGCGGGTGAAACCTATTAATAAGGCTATGTCAGGGATGTTTCCAACAGTAACACCGAATCAGGTATGCATCGACAACATTTGTTTGTGCCGATGTACAGGTATAATCTACGTCTCCTCTTCATGAAGATGCTCCCCTGAACTCATGAGGAGAGCCGCTGTTGCAGGTCTGGCAGTCCTAAATATTTTTCCACTACGTATCACATTCGCAAACCACAATTGTATTATCAATTTTTTAATATGAGTCAAATATCTAAATTACCATCACTTAAAATTTCCTCTGTTTATTACGAACGTGTTTTCTTAAACAACCATTGTGAAATTTCGGTGAATTTAACGGGTCTCCTTTTTCGAAGGGTCTGATGCATTGATTTTTTTCTCTTGACCTAAATTTAAATACTTATTCTTACCATATCATTAGCTGCCAAACCGGGACGACTTTTAACTTCTCTTGCTGTTGAATCCAATTCCTGGCCACAGGCTGTACAATTGAAATGATAGCCATGATAGACTTCACCACGGAAACGTAATGGTTCATCATCGATAAGGCCACTGAAAAAAAAACCAAAACATTTAATTATTTCAAAATAAATTAAAAAAACCCCTTGCACTACTTACTGGCATTTTTGGCACACATAACGACCAGTGATTTCAGCCTTAACCTTGGCATTACATTCGTGACATAGGGCACGATTTTGATTGCGTATAAAACCAGAATCGGCCAATTCTTTGGAACACAACTGGCAACGGAAGCACTGTGGATGCCAACTGGCCGACATGGCCTTAATTACGCGACCAATAACGAATTCGCCACATTTATTGCAGCACGGGGCAAATAGAACGTGGAAATCACGTTCACAATATTTGCGTCCCTCGAATTCGTAAAAAATGCCATCTTCAAAAGGCCGGAAGCACTGGGCACAACTGAAATATATTTAAAAATTTTTAAATTATTAACAAAATAAAATTGTGTTAAGATCGGAAAAATTGACTTACACAAAACATTGGGTGTGCCACAATTCACCATTGGAATTGACTATTTTCTCATTTGGTTCAAAACCATCTGCACATCGGGTGCAATGCATTGCCCCCAATGACATGTTAGCTGCCTGTAATCTGTAACAAAAACAAATCATAAAATATTATTAAATATTAAATAATTAAAAACTTTTGTTGGTTTTTCTTCAATCAGTACATCATTGATCTTCGTTGAGAGGTAATCATTTTTTTCAGTTTTCTCTTGGCAGTTAAAATTCAATCCTTCTTTAGCAACGTTTAATTGTAGACTGTGGTCAATGCATTTATTTTAATACCCCTATGGTTTTGATCGTTTCCTTATCAACATTTTCTGTTTGTTGTGATTCATACCGAACACCGCTAAAGCGGTGACGTTTACTTAGGCTAACCAAATAAAATAAAAATATTTAATGTCATATTTTTTGATATCACTTTGGAAGTTACCCACAAGAATTACTGGACGATAAATAATGAAATGTAATGACACGCTACTTTAGATGTTCCGCTTCTATATCAACGAAAATTCGTAAAAATATTAAATCGTACAGTACAAGTTTGAGAAGCCCTGTGTAACATCCATCATTTGAATTATCTATGACCGAATTGTATAAAAAATTAGGAATTTTGAATTCCAAATGTATCCAGAATTGTTTTAGGATATTTTTGTGGATTTTGATCATACCAACAGTTTATGGCGGGAGGAAAAATTTACACATCGATTACCATATTGTCCTTCTTGCACTGGAATAATTACTGGATAAGCAAAGCATAGCACGCATCAAAGGTATATCAGTAGACATCGCTTTGAAATACCTCCTCATATACTAAGGATAACAGGGAGAGTATCTTCAGAATTATAAAAATTGGAATTTATCCATTTTGAACTAAGTGGCTCTAGAATTCCCATTATCCTGATTTAAATACTTCGATCGTCAGACTCACATCGCAATATGGAGTACTCAATTCCTCTGTTGCTGTAGAAACATACGTCTGCTTCTGGGTTCTCTGTATCCTAATACATAGATATCTCGAAGACAGGTGAGTAGGCTTATCCGGACAGTTGAATAAGTGTAACGAGTCGTGCGATTCTAGTCCACTTGGTGGACATTTGTTATGTAGGAATTGAGATAATCGCAAGATCCTGATCTTAGCTGCACTAAAACTACTCGTCTATGCAGTGGTATATGCCCTGGTGCTTTGGGTATACCATTAAGCATATTATTGTACTATTGTATGGGTGGCTGCATCGGTGTGATTGTTATTCAGACCTGACTGATAGACCTACGCTTGTACATTAAGACCCTTCTCCCTATCTAGATAATGTAGATCTTTTCTGGCGACGGACGTCTGTCCATATGGTTATATCAGGGGTGTTACCGATGTTAAAGCCCGAACAGGTACATCATCGATAAATATTTGGTTGTGTCGATGGTCGGGTAGGATTTTCGTTTACTTATGAAAATGATCCACGACATTCTGTTATACCCCCCCCCCCCCCATTCTCGATTTTTTATTTTTAAGATTTTAAATGGGCTGGTAAATGAATACCAATGCTTGTTAAGGTTTGTAACTTTGCACATATATATTTGAAGATTTAAAGAGGAAGAAAAATAATTTACAAACAAATTTTGTTGTTGTTTTTTGTGATCAAAGAAAAGTCCTTATTTTTGATGGCGGGCATGATAACTCCTCACTGGAACATCGGAATCCGAAAATTCCAACGGTGTTAGAAAGAGTACATGTCTGGCTCTCGTATGAAATAGGATTATTGACTTCGCTCTAAAATTAACAAAATGGCGGACCTTTGAAAAAATATTTTAATATAAGGAAGATCTTCACCGATTGGCTTTATCCTAGTTCATACGATAGCTATACACTCACAGAGAAACGTGTAAAAATTTGAAATCGATTGGGTTATTAGTTTTTGAGTTATCGTGCCCGCCATTCGCAAAAAAATGTTTAGAGAAAAACGCGTTTAAAGTTTGAGAAGCCCTTCAGCCGTCACTTGATGCTGACACAATAAATCGGCTATATCTTCAAGAGTTCTTGAGATTTTTACTTGAAATTTTGCAGGGACATTCTTGAATTAGTGTAGATTGGAATTAAGTCAACAAAAATTTTGACCCCGAGAATGGGGGGGTCCCCTTAAAAGGTCCATCCGATGTATATCACTTGCATTCCCAGCCTAATGCTTTATAAGAGGTCAATTTATCTTTATCAGCCTAAAATGTCTATGTCGTCAGATTTGTGTTTGATTAGAAGTTCATTTCACAATTCTTCAAGCATACGAATATATTCACAGTTGATGACCTAGTTTACATTTCTACTTTTTTGTGGCAACAGGATTCCATGGTCTTCGTGTATTATTTGAATAAAAGGGTAGTGCGTCTTCGCTACAGAAATTTAATCGAAATCGGTTTGGATCATACAACTCTGAAGGCATCTGTTGTTATAGCAGCCCTATTGCTTTTACATAACGGGCTGAGGTGACAGACGTTGGCCGAGTAAGACTCGGGTCGCTTCGGATCGTAGACCCCTCTGTCGTGGAAACGCATCTGTTGTTGTTGTAGCAGCCCTATTGTTTTTAGGTAAAAATGCGCGGCAGTGATATCCCGAAAAGTCGTCATACCAGTCCGAGGATCTGAGGGATTGGGATCGGAAGCAGTGATTAGTTTCTTCTTGATACATTTTCAATCAGCTATAATATGGTTCAGTAAAGTTCGGCGTTCAGAGATTATGAAATGGGTGGTCTATTGACGGATATTATATCCGTGATCTGAGTCGATTTAATTGAGCACTTGTCGGGATGTGATTTACCAGACCGGTTGACAAAACGGTGAGGATCTGAGGAAAGGGGTGATAAGTACATCCTAATCAGCATTACATTGTCCAAGAAGTACGGCGATCAAAAATAATTAATTTGGATGGACTATTGGCGGAGACGATAATGGGACCTGAAACGATTGAATTGGAGGGTTTTCGTAACTGTGATGGAATAAAACTTATTTTTGATAGTTTGTGAATGGGTCTACATATTTTGAATTTTTCTAATATTACAATCAACATTCATGTGAGTGCAAATATTACGAAACATTAAAGGGGCTCGAGGTTAATTTCCTCAGAAAGTTAATGTTTAGTGGTAGTTTTTTATTTGGTCAAATCCATCCGACTATACTGCGTGCATACAGGTACTACAAAAATGTTATTTAGCTGGACAAATTGAATTTTAGCTGGGAAATCTTAAAACGTTGGATCAAATTTCTACAATTTTCAATGTGGGCAATGTGGAAGACGTTAAAATCGGGACACTTCCACTGGTCTAACCCAGAGATCCAAAGGCCGCAAATCTGTGGGCCTGACTGGGCAAAAAAATTGGTGGTTTGTGTCATGAGGACCTCTGTGACAGTTCGGATCGGTTGTCCTGGAAATAGTTCTCGACTGGTAATTATTTAAGATTGTGCTCCATCCAGATCTAAGTTGAGCTAGAGTTGTTCTAGTGGATCTGGGGAGTCACTGTTTAGAGTCACTGATTGCTGGGGATGTTCATTAAACACTTTGTTAAGGCAATATCCGTGGACGGCCTGATTCACCGCTCGATTGTGCAGCTGTTTCATTGTTGAGGTCGGTTGGTTGTCTGGGCGTAAGTGTGAAGTGACATGGCATATGACAGGTCAGAAGGATCTGTCTGGCAAGCAACACATTATGTCGCTATACTGACCGTATCCTTGTCTCCTCATGAAGATGCTACACACTCGACATCCGGTAGCTATCCTTAGAGCACTATTCTGAATCGTTTGAATGTTGTGCCATCGTATGTCACTTAGGTACAAACGTCTAATGGATTTGTACGTCATGATGAGCGAGCTTCTCTTTGTCATTTCTCCAGAAGGTAACTGTCAGAGCTTTAAGGACCTTATTTTCGCTGAGGATTTTCCCTTTGACATAAGCAGCATGCTTGTTGAAATTGTGCAGATTATCAAAAACTACTCCCAGTATTTTGGGATGTTGGACTGTCGGAATACTTCAGCCATCGACTATATATCTTGCTCAGTCTTTAGTTAACGTGTCCAGGTGGTAAATAGCGTCGTCGTAGATTTAAACAGGGATATAATTTCCTTTACTGCATGAATGGCTTATGCCATCTATGTCGACTCCGGACGACGTGATTGTACAGTCGTGAATAGCATAACCGATATATAGTTATAAATAGTGTATTTATACGCAAACATTATGAAACGTTTTGAAAATTTAACCATAAGTAGTCTACATTTTTGTAGAAATATGGGCAAAGGTCTTAGTGGATTTTTGGAAGTCAATATCTAAGGATGTATGGCTTTCCGCCAAAATAATTAAATTCAGAACTTCAGCCGCTTCAAACTTGTAACCATATTGCCTTAGTGAATTTCAAACGGTATTGGAAAAAGGTTATAAGTTTGGAGGAACATATTTTAGGAAGTATGGAATATCACAAGAAAATATGTATCAGCTATGGAAATAAGTGGAACTTTAGAAGCCAATATCTAACGAATTATGTATTTCCCCCATAGAAACCAGAAAAAAATTCCCACAAAAAATAAGTATTTGCTATGTCTAGAGAATGGAGTCACCATTCATCACTTTCTTTCCCAACAACATACCTATAACGAATAATATAAACATAATATTATTCTCAGAGTAAATATTTTCTCAATATAAATACGTAATATTTTAACATCCATGATGAGGGTTAAACAAACAAAACAAAAATACACATTTTTCATCCATTACACTTCCAATTAGAATAAACAAAAACAACAACAACAATTCACCCAATAAACAAAAAACTTGTTCAGACAAATATACAAATTTAGATACTGGCGACTCACTACTGGTGCCAAACAGATACATTTGAGAAGAGAGCGTGAATATGTTGAGAGAATGTGGGAGAGGTTATTGAAGAAACAGTAGCACCACCAACAACAACAAACGATATTCATAAAACGAAGATCCATCTATTAATAACAATGACGTCATTGAATACGAAAAAAACAAACATCTGGACTGGAAGGTGGTAATGAAGAAATTTTTGGTTTTTTGAATCATCGATGCGGCAGGCAGCAGCATAGATAGCAGATAAACGAACATCGAATGTAATTGGAAATGAAAATTCAATTAAAATACAAAATGTATACTAATGGATATTACACGAGATTGGGAGGTGGAGATTTGCTGTAGCTTAGCATGAATTTGTCTGTAACATCTGTGCCAATTAAAGGCCAAAGATAAAATGCTGGGCACCACAATTTTTTATTTCATATTTTTTTTTAATATCAAAATTGGGGGCATTTTTAAAATGTCGTTTTGCAAGATATGACCAAGTATGAGATAATCGTAGGCGTCAAATGTTAGGCGTTCGGTTGGTAGGTTTCATTGACAAAAGTGAACATAGTGCGGCGATGATTAGCAGCGTAGCGGAGAGGAGCGGAGTAGTTGTAACTTTTACGTTGATTTGTTTAATGTATGCGAACAAAAGTAAACTTTTCCTTGTATGGGCGGTTAGACATCGGATGTATACTGCCATAATGATTGAAGTCTGTCTGTCCATTCACCTGTACATTTTTTCAAAGTTGATTTCATTCACAAATTCTATGAATTAGTGTGTAAGGTGTAGGTGCTGTGTAAATCGCGATTACAAATTCTTCGTTGGTGTTGCAAGTGATGGTATGATCATTAATTCCGATACACACAAAGCCCATATACTTAGGTCACTATTTTCGAATTGGAATGCATATAGGAGGGGCATGACACTTTATGTTCTTTCGTGCCTTTTTTAAGGCGTTTTCTTTTCTTTTTTTGGCATTTTTCTTCACTTCATCTTATTAAGGAGACAATCAATGATGACCATCATATGGATGCTTACTCAACGGGAGGCATATTTAAATCTTTCAAAAACGGATGGTGATGACAACACGAAAGATGACAGCACAATATGTAGTATTGCAATAACTTCCGAACGTTCCGAACACACGACGTTCACTGCAAATATTCTCACGAAACTAATTTGAAATATTAAAAATTGAAAACACAAAATTGGCAAATGTTTACCTACCAGCCATACAGTGAAGCAGAATTAAAAGAGCACACACAATGATCATGATTTTGTGTGTTTGCACATTGATTGAGAAATCAACTAGTAGTAATAATCAACATTCTCTGACACCCCTCCTGCTGCTGCTCCACCTACTTAACCTTCATTCATTTATTTGTATTGAATTCCTCCTCCTCCTTATGCAAACCACAAATTCTGCAATTTGAGAAATGTTGTTGTTGCTGTTGGGTTTTAACTCTTCAAGAGTTTCGTTTATTTTTTATCATATCTTGTAAATCTGGATTTTGATCTCCTCCCTAAATTGGCAAAATCAAACAAGATAACACACGTCGTTTTCTTCTTTTTATCAATTATGGACAAGAGAAAACTGAGTTTTTTCTGTTCATTGTTGTCACAAAAATTCTTGCATTCTAATTTCTCTTTGAATTTTATTGCACTGTTTTATTGTTATTATCTTTTTGTTTTTTGTGCATGATTGTTGCACTATTTTCTTTTAATCTATAATTTACCTTTTATTTATTTTAATTTAACTAAACTTAAAAAAAGAAACTACTCTCTACTACTAGGGATGGGATACTAGTTGAATTTTGACATATCGTTTTGACAGTTTAAACATCGATTTAATATGGTTCGATAACTTAAATGAAAAATAATCGATAGTTTATTTATTGCATTTAAAAAAACGTTTTGGGGCAAAACAATAAAAAAGATTAACAAAAAAGAATAAAATATTTTTAACAAAAAAATAATCGGTATATAAGTAAATAAAAGCCTATGAAACTTTTAAGGCCCCGTCTCGGAACATTTTGCCATTTTACTATAAGTAGCAATAGAGGCCCTGAATACGAACATATTGGTTTTCAAAATGTGGTAAGACTTTTCAAATTTATAGAGGGACACACAGAATGGACATGTTGTATTCTTGCAAAATACCATACTTCTTGAGATAATTTTTGGAAAGACGTCCTACTATCCAATGGGATTTCAAATTACTGAATTATAAAATTTTGGAATATAAAATTTGGAATTTGCCCTACCCTAATACAAATATAATATATAATCCACTTGTTGGTGGAAGGTATTATATGGCGGCTACCACGAACCTAATCGGGGGGATGGACTGACATGGCTAAATCGTCCTGATCAAAATATATAAATGTAATTTACAAAAGAATGCGAGCACATAATAACGATCGTTCGTTGCGGTGGTGGTTGAAATCATTTCTGACATTCATTTGTCAATGGCAAAGAATGATCGCAAATGTTCGCGAATGCACATTGTCGTTCTAACCAGTTTAGTAGAAAATTAAATGAAAACAGTTTTTAAAGTGTTGTTTTGGAATGGTGATTGTAAAAAGATTCCATTCCGAATTTTCGACGACGATCTGTATTTTAAGCCAATAATTGAACCATATGAAAATCAATTTAATTTACATTGAAGTCTATGACAAGAAGGAAAGAAAAATTGCTTGACTATGTTGCCTTTCTTTTACATACTCTTTTCATATCATTACAATAACAAATTATTTTTATGCAGGCACATATATTAAGGACAAGTGCAACGCTTACTTAATTAAATGGGGAACGAACTATCACTGCCGAAGAAGGTAATGCTCAAGATGGTATGCCAATGTTCCATGACGACCCTTATCAAATTTTGGAAGAAGAATTAAATAACTTGACAAGTAGACAATTTTCAAGCCAAAATAATGCTAATTCAAATTATTCGCCAAAAACTTCAGCAAATGGAAAAAGGATGCCTTTCCGAACGAATATGCTTGACAACAAGAAAAATCTGTCAATTAAAGAAAAAGATATGTTTAATCTGGCTGAAATAGTTGTAACAGTTCCATTAAGTCTAGTGTCCGTAGAATGAGCAACGCTCAAGATTAAACAGTACCAGCAGTGGCTTAAAGTCATTTAGGCCTTAAAATGCCTTTTTTAGGCGATAGAAAATTAAAATGCCTTTTTAGACCATAGAAAACTAAAATGCCTTTTTTAGGCGATAGAATCCTTTAAAGGCATTAAAATGTCTTTTTAGGCGATAGAAAATTAAAATGCCTTTTTAGGCGATAGAAGCCTTTAGAGGCCTTTAAAAGCCTTTTTAGGCGATAGAAGCCTTTAAAGGCCTTAAAATGTATTTTTAAAGTCATTTAGGCCTTAAAATGCCTTTTTTATGCGATAGAAAATTAAAATGCCTTTTTAGACCACAGAAAACTATAATGCCTTTTTTAGGCGATAGAATCCTTTAAAGGCATTAAAATGCCTTTTTTATGCGATAGAAAATTAAAATGCCTTTTTAGGCGATAGAAGCCTTTAAAGGCCTTAAAAAGCCCTTTTTTAGGCTATAGAAGCCCTTAAAGGCCTTATAATGCCTTTTTAGGTGATAGAAGCCTTAAAATGCCTTTTTTAGGCGATATAAGCCTTTAAAGACATTAAAATGCCTTTTTTTGGGCGAAAGAAGCCTTTAAAGGCTTTAAAATGCCTTTTTTAGACGATAGAAGTCTTTAAAGGCTCGCGAATGAATGAATCGACGACGCCTGCAGGGAAGTTTTATCGTTCGTGAATTTTTCGTGCACTGCGAACATTCGCGAGAGATTGCATGTGTTTGTTCATTCATTGTAACTTTATCATTCGCCATAAATTGAAAAACATTCGAATTCTCGCCGTGAGCTTTCGTGATAAAGAGTGTATTTTAATCATTCTCCGCACCCTGAGTTCTCTGCGTATAACTGCCAAACTAGTGGGGTTTTACACTGTTTGTCATGGGCATTCGTCATGAGAGTTTTCTTGAGAGTAATTTGAGTTTCGCTTTTTTAATTTTGTAACAAGCATACTTTTTGTTCATGAGAGTTTTCTTGAGAGTAATTTGAGTTTCGCTTTTTTAATTTTGTAACAAGCATACTTTTTTTTCACGAAAGGTACGAATTTACATAAACGTACAAAAACAAAAATAGATTTTTTATTATTTATTTACCAATGGGAGAGAAAAAATTCCCATGACGAATGCCCATGACCAACAGTGTAAAACCCCAATTACTGAGTATATTTATGACTGGTAAAGTAACCAGACATGGCTATTGTTTTAAATGTTTATGACATTTGACGTGCGTCGATAACAGGGGAAGCTCCACTTCTTGTTTACAGCAGAGTTGCCATTCTTGGCATTTTTATTAATCTCACAAAACCTTTAAATTTAAAGTTAATTAAAACAAAAATCTAATAAAACATTACGTTTTCTTCAAAAACGTAATAAAAAAATTATTTTAATTAATTAGAAACTTAAACTTTTTATGAATCTCAAAGGAAAATTTCTAATAAATGGTATGTATTATGAAATTGCCATTAAACGGCAACACTGTTCGATTTCAACAAGCCGACACCACTGGCGAATAAATCATCAACATTCTCGAATATTTTCTCCAATGCAAACATTAAATTTGTGCTGCTAATTGTTTTGTGATAAGAAACAAACTAACATTTATTGATTACAAAATGTCATTAATGGAATGCATAAAAACGACGCTGATATTCGCTCTTGGTGTGCTGGTGTGTGAGTGTGCAGTTAGCACCAATGAATACATGAAGAGGGAACACTCATTGGTTCGACCATTCCAGGGTAAGTACCAACGCTTGGACGTATTTACAAAGTAATAACGAATGGTTTCCAGGTGTTGGCGTCAATCTTGCCAATTGGGACTTTCTCGGCCATACAGTGGTGACAAGCAACTACATTAGGCTCACACCAGATCTACAATCGAAGAGCGGTGCCCTATGGAACTATTCGGTATGTTGAAAGTGACTCAGTCAAATGTGCAAAGTTCATACGACGATTTAATTAAATAATTTTGCATCTTTTAGCCATGTTTAACGAAAAACTGGGAAGTCCATGTAACATTTAAGGTCCATGGCAAGGGTACTGAACTTTTTGGTGATGGCTTCGCTATTTGGTACACCAAGGAACGTATGCAACCGGGACCGGTATTTGGTAGTAAAGATCATTTCTCCGGCTTGGCGGTTATTTTGGATACCTATAGTAATCACAATGGGCCACATAATGTAAGTACATAACAAACATATTAAAAAAATTGTAATGTCGGTTTTTATATTTGTGAAAGTTTAGAATAGTTTTTTTTTCGTGGAAGCACAGAAAGAAAAAATAGGAAGAGAGATAACGTTATCTACAAAACAATTCAAGTAATTTTTAAGAGTTTTTTTAATTAAAATGTCATTCCCAGCCAGTATATCAGAAAAAGATCAATAGTATTTTCTTTGATATTAATTAATTGGTGCTTCAAATTGAAAGTCGAATCAGATTAAAGAAATATACGGTGCTGCTAAGCGCTATCACCGTCGAGTATTCGCTTGAAACATCGCCGAAAAACGGAACATCTCTACATCAACCTAATCTGTGACTTTTAACGCCACACGTTAGAGTTGGGTAGTTCCGGAACGAACTAGTTCATTGGAACTATTCCGAGAAAGGAACGATCGGAACTAGTTCCAGCTCTTTAATTAATATAGTTAATTTTTATGATCTCGTTCTTTTTTCTCGAGAGATTCAAATGAACTATGTAGGAGTCGGAACTATGTGGAGCAAAGGAACTACATTAAGGAACTAGTTCCTTTTATAAGAAGGAGCGAGAAAGATCGATCCGTTAAGTGAAATAGATTGCCCAATTCTACCACACGTTGCTATTCCTGCTCTTGATCTCCTGGAAATTAAATACAACCGACTTCGTGGAAAAATAGATGAGTACCGCGGCAGTGTAGCAAACCAAACTCAATTATAGCCTACAGCGTTGTGATGGTTACAACATCCCGTTCAAGGATCACACCAATTCAATACAGACATATCACCCTTGAGCTAGACTGGAATGTATTAGGGTTGTAGTTAAATGTGGACAATAATCCTCTGGTTCTAGAGACACCATCGCTTGTGGCACATTCTTTAATGGACCCCATGAATTGTGGCACCCCGTCCTAAGTAATAACCAGAAGGGAGCAGTGCTGGCAGTGTATTTAGATTAATGGTGTGCAAGCATGGGAACTGGTGTCCTTGTTTACATGTATAAAAAAGTTCGTTCTCTACGTTCTCCTTTTTAGTAAGTCATTTCATATAGCGGTTTGTCATTTGTTCTCTGAACATTTTTTCGTTGCACACCTCTAATTAAGATCAGAGGTGGGCATAACCAAATTGAGAGTAAGTTTAGGTGAGCGTAACTGGGATTTCATCACCAAAAATGACTGAAGAAAAGAGAATAAATGAGATACCGTTTTTATCCATTTACAGTTGATTTTGGAAATTTTTGACGTTATGTTTTGCACAATGGATATGAATACACCAGACATTTCTATCGGGAGAGAGTGACCACCTATCTCCACTAGCAGAGCATCATCTCTGTGCGCCTTTTTTTCCTTAACCATAGGACTTCATATAACCTTTTATGCCTTCTCAATTACGGGAGGCAGAGAGAAAAATCCAGGACTACTGCTAGATTTATTCCTACTATTCGAATACCCGATAAGACCTAATTTACCAGCAAATACAGTTGGGGTAGAAATTGCCCGCACATGCCAAAGCTATCTGCGTTAATCTGGAAAGTAGTCCCTTAAATCGATTGCGGATAACGCAGAACCCTTGTTGAGGCAGACAATGAAAACTTGCTGACTTCTTATAAATCGATAGCTCGGTCTTTGATCCACAAAAACCAGGTTTATGCAATGGAGAAGTATTTAGACCTGCTAATGTAGCTCTGATAACTACTAAAGACCTGCCAACATAGCTATAGATTATGCAGCTTATCGAGTAGGTCCAGATAATATTAACACTGATGTAGGAATATGAAATGAATACAATGTGAGTGATTGGCGTCCTCGGAGTCGAGTCATCGCAAATGCAGAGCGTTAGCTGCCTAGAAAAAAACAAAATTAGTGTATCATAGTGCATTTCAATTTGGAAGATAGACGATATTGATTCAAGTTTCTGGTTAGCCTCCACCTAAGGGCACTCGCAATAAAAGGGGTATTTTAGAAATTTTGAGCAGGTTTTCCAATTGTAATTTTGTAACAAAAAAGAATATATAAGTATCAGTTCAAATTTATAGCCCCCTTATTACGCTGTCGGTGTTCTCCTGATTTAACTATAATTGTTTTCTTTTTTCTGGAATGTTTTAATTCAATCAAAAAAATATTTGAAATTTTTAAATGTTTTAAATTTAATTTGCAGCATCAACATCCCTATTTGAGCGCCATGGTAAACAACGGCACATGGAGCTACGATCATGATCGTGATGGTACTCACACCCAATTGGCTGGCTGTGAAGTTCGCTTCCGTAATGTTAATTTCGATACACATGTGGCGATACGTTACGAAAACGATATTCTATCGGTATCGACAGATCTGGAAAATCGCAATGAATGGAAAAATTGTTTTGTTGTAAATAATGTTGAATTGCCCACGGGTTATTTCTTTGGTCTATCGGCAACAACGGGTGATTTGTCCGACAATCATGATATTTTGAGTTTCAAATTTTACGATTTGGACACGGATGTTACGGTAAGATGAATACAAATTGTTAGATTTCAGTTTAAGTGGAAAGTTATTGTAATTATTTCAATGGTTAAAAAAATTTTGATTTATTTATAATTGTTTTTATGTTTCTATTTATTGTAGCCTGATCAAATTATTGCCCGTGCCAACATTATACCCAATGCCAAAACATTCGAACCGCCACGTGAACATAAAGATGATCCCAAACCAAGCATGTCCAATACAAAGATATTCTTTATTTTACTCTTTGGAATGTTGGCAGCTGTTGCTGTGGCCATTTTCGCCATCTCCTATTTCAAGGAGAAAAATGCCCGCAAACGCTTCTATTAGTTAATAGCATTATTTATTATTAGATATTTGAAGTCTTCTTCGGCCCAAGCGACCTCCTCTACCACAACCACCACCTCCAACAACAACAACAAACACAACATCTTTTTGAGAGAAAAAAGACATGAATATTTTTTAAATAGCAAACAAATTAAGGTTTTATAGTTTTTAAATATCAAGTCATTTTCTAATCTAAAATTATTTTTATTGTATTTCTTCGATATATGTATACTCTATCAATTTTTAGTTGATTTCAATTTATTAGTATTTATTCGTGTAATAAGTATTTTCTAATTTAATTTTATTAGATATACATTCACACCAAACAACTCCTTATTTTTTCGATTTTCTTCCTTTATTTTTATGTTGGAAATTATATATTTGCAATTTTTCCGGAGTGATGATGAGTATGATGATATTACACATCACAATAAATTTGTGTAGCAAAATGTTTAAAGCGCAATTAATAAATAAATAAATAAATATTAAGTAAAAAACAAAACATATATGCAAGTAAGCTATGCGGATTGGTATGTAGATAAATTACAACAAATATTGTGTGGGAATATTGTAAATAAATAGTTTAATTATGAAAAAATGTTTAAAATATGTGTGTTTCTTTTATATATTTTCAAAACGAATTTTCTTTTCGGTTGTCTATTTAATACAAGAAATACATATTTATTTATTTGTAGTTGGCTTCTGGGGCATAAAATGTGCATTTACCAATTTTTAGTTATTTCTATGGATTCCCAAGCATGGATATTATTACAGAATATTATTTTCAAGATCAGCAGAATAATATTCGAGATATTTTATGCTATTTTTTGTTTTTGAGGCAGAGATGTAAGGGAATTTTTAAATAATACATTTTCAAGGATTTGGAAAGCCATGAGCAACAATTTTGGAAAAATATTTCTTAAGGACTGAAAGTACTCTTATATAAATATTATTTTAAGGTCTAGCAGAGGTATATGCATAGATCATTCAAGGACTAGCAAAGCAACAAGTGTGAGTTTTAACGTGTGTTTTAAATACTAGAAGAGTTATATTTTTCAAAGACTAGCAGATCACTAAGCATAGATTTTTAAATAGCTCTGCTCTACTCGATATTTGGTAACAATAGTTACCAAATGTCCTTTGTTTGTTGTTTATTTTGGCGCAAATCAAATGTTTTCTTGAATCAGCTGTTTATTTGCTAAATCTTACTAAATGTTGTCTGTTTACTTTTCTCAGTATTATCGCAAAAGAGAGTAAAAAAGGCTTACTCTCTGAACTAGAACTTACTGAATAAATGTTAATGGAAAAGTAACAGACACACCTAATAATAATCACCCTTATTACGGTAGGCGTAGTCGTTGTACGGCAGCTGTCGTAGGCGTAGTCGAATGCATTTTCGTAAATGTTTTTGATTTTTATGCCAAATCTTGTAATAGATTTTTCTTTTACTATTTAATTTTCTGGTAAGTGTAATTCTTATAAATATTCGGTAGGCGTAGTCGTTATACGGCAGCTCTTGTAGGCGTAGTCGAATGCGTTGTCGTAGATGTTTTTGGTCGATATTATGTAAAATTAATGACTACGCCAAATTTTGTATTAGATTGTTATTTTATGTAATTTTGTTTGTTTTCTAATTAATTTTCTGGTAATTGAAATACGGCAGGTCGATTTCAAAATTTTTTTTTTACATTTTGTGACAATGTTCTGGATTGGTATTTCAAATTACTGGCACTACAAACAAAATACACAAAACGAATTGAAAGAAAATTGCCGGTACGAGCAATTTTTTCCAATGCCCCTCTCTCCTTCATACAAAGACTTGCCGCAATTAAACTCGCCTAATATAAATTGGGACTTATGAATATTGAGAAATGAAATAAAATAAAGTTAATGTAACAGTTAATCATATTTTTTTTATACTGTCGTCAAAAAATTTTTTACGACAGATTTGGCGTATTGTAACGCTTTTCATAATTCCGATTTGTCGTATAAATACGACAGTGCCATATTTTCAACACGACGACGCCGACCGTAATAACGGTTATTGAGAAATGCAATAAAATAAAGTGTAATGTAAGAGTTAATCCGTAAATACTGTTTAAATGCTATTTTAAGACATTTTTTTATATTATTTTCGTCAAAAGAATATTGAACGACACATTTGTCGTATTGTAACGACTTTCATCATACCGATTTGTCGTACAAGTGCGACATCATACCCAATTATCAAAACGACAACGCCAACCGTAAAAAGGATGACTGTTTTTTCAATGACTAGCAGATCTTTAAGCGTGGGATTTTAAAAGAATACTTTTTCAACGACTAGAAGATCTATAAGCTTGAATTTTTTCAAATATATTTTTTTAAGATCTGCTAGATCTAAAAGAATGGATTTTTTAAATAATATAATATTTTTTTGAGGATTTTAGCCCTGCTTGAGGCTATACTAATACAATAATAAACATTTCAGAAATAGGAGAAATGTCATGTTTTTACGAACTTTAAAATTATAAAAATCTGTCCCTTGAAAAATATTATTTTAAAAAATCACTCTCTTCTGGTCCATGAAAAAATATTCTTTATAAAAATCTCTTTTCTGATCCTTGCAAAAATATTCTTTATAAAAAAACTCTTTATGCGGTCGTTTTTTCAGTCAGTTTTTTTATTCGAGTCGAACTTAATGATCGAACTTTTGCAATGAAAATGTTCATTAAAAATCCACGCCTTGATAAATACTCGTTAAAAATCCATGCCTTGCTGTTCCATAAAAAAAATATTCTTTAAAAAATCCATGCCTTGCTGTTCCAGGAAAAAAATATTCTTTAAAAATCCACGCCTTATTCTTTCGGAATAGTTCAATTATACAATTTAGGACAATGAAACCTCTTAATTTCAAAAATGTTATTTTTTTTTTGAAATGTTCAATAAAAATCAAAAAATAACCTTCATTTTGACGGCGATGAAATTGAGAGTAAGTTTAGGTGAGCGTAACTGGGATTTCATCACCAAAAATGACTGAAGAAAAGATAATAAATGAGATACCGTTTTTATCCATTTACGCTGACGTATAATTTTGGAAATTTTTGAGCATCAATGATTTAGCTAGAACCAGGTTTTGCACGGTGAATGGATATGAATACACCAGGAAAAGGGGAGAGAGTGTCACAGTTGATAGAGCATCATCTCTGTGGCCGTTTTTTCCTTAACCATAGGACTTCATATAACCTTTTATGCCTTCTCAAAATTACGGGAGGCAGAGAGAAAAATCCAGGACTCCTGCTAGATTTATTCCTACTATTCGAATACCCGATAAGACCTAATTTACCAGCATATACAGTTGGTGTAGAAATTGCCCACAAAAGACCTGCTAACACCCATCGACCATCTATATAATGACAAGATTCCCATTGGTCAGCATAGGAAAATGATGTATAGGAAGGATGTACATGATCTCGAGGGAGAGAGTGGTCCAAACATATGAAAGAGATCCTATATATTAAGCAGCTAATCGAGTAGGTCCATATAATATTAACAATATGAAATGAATACAATGTGAGTGATTGGCGTTCTCGGAGTCGAGTCATCGCAAATGAAGAGCGTTAGCTGCCTAGAAAAAACAAAATTAGTGTATCATAGTGCATTACAATTTGGAAGATAGACGGTATTGGTTCAAGTTTTTGGTTACCCTCCACCTAAGGACACTCCCAATAAAAAGGTATTTTAGAAATTTTGAGCAGGTTTTCCAATTGTAATTTTGTAACAAAGAAAAATATATATGTATCAGTTCAAGTTTATAGCCCCCTTATTACGCTGTCGGTGTACTCCCGATTCAACTATAATTATCTTTTTTCTGGAATATTTTAATCCAATGAAAAAAATATTTGAAAATTTTAAATCTTCTAAATTTCATTTGCAGCATCAACATCCCTATTTGAGCGCCATGGTAAACAACGGCACATGGAGCTACGATCATGATCGTGATGGTACTCACACCCAATTGGCTGGCTGTGAAGTTCGCTTCCGTAATGTTAATTTCGATACACATGTGGCGATACGTTACGAAAACGATATTCTATCGGTATCGACAGATCTGGAAAATCGCACTGAATGGAAAAATTGTTTTGTTGTAAATAATGTTGAATTGCCAACGGGTTATTTCTTTGGTCTATCGGCAACAACGGGTGATTTGTCCGACAATCATGATATTTTGAGTTTCAAATTTTACGATTTGGATACGGATGTTACGGTAAGATGAATACAAATTGTTAGATTCCAGTTTAAGTGTAAAGTTATTGTAATTATTTCAATGGTTAAAAAAAATTTTGATTTATTTTTAATTGTTTTTATTTTTCTATTTATTTTAGCCTGATCAAATTATTGCCCGTGCCAACATTATACCCAATGCCAAAACATTCGAACCGCCACGTGAACATAAAGATGATCCCAAACCAAGCATGTCCAATACAAAGATATTCTTTATTTTACTCTTTGGAATGTTGGCAGCTGTTGCTGTGGCCATTTTCGCCATCTCCTATTTCAAGGAGAAAAATGCCCGCAAACGCTTCTATTAGTTAATAGCATTATTTATTATTAGATATTTGAAGTCTTCTTCGGCCCAAGCGACCTCCTCTACCACAACCACCACCTCCAACAACAACAACAAACACGACATCTTTTTGAGAGAAAAAAGACATGAATATTTTTTAAATAGCAAACAAATTAAGGTTTTATAGTTTTTAAATACCAAGTCATTTTCTAATCTAAAATTATTTTTATTGTATTTCTTCGATATATGTATACTCTATCAATTTTTAGTTGATTTCAATTTATTAGTATTTATTCGTGTAATAAGTATTTTCTAATTTAATTTTATTAGATATACATTCACACCAAACAACTCCTTATTTTTTCGATTTTCTTCCTTTATTTTTATGTTGGAAATTATATATTTGCAATTTTTCCGGAGTGATGATGATGATATTATTACACATCACAATAAATTTGTGTAGCAAAATGTTTAAAGCGCAATTAATAAATAAATAAAGAAATATTAAGTAAAAAACAAAACATATATGCAAGTAAGCTATGCGGATTGGTATGTAGATAAATTACAACAAATATTGTGTGGGAATATTGTAAATAAATAGTTTAATTATGAAAAAATGTTTAAAATATGTGTGTTTCTTTTATATATTTTCAAAACGAATTTTCTTTTCGGTTGTCTATTTAATACAAGAAATACATATTTATTTATTTGTAGTTGGCTTCTGGGGCATAAAATGTGCATTTACCAATTTTTAGTTATTTCTATGGATTCCCAAGCATGGATATTATTACAGAATATTATTTTCAAGATCAGCAGAATAATATTCGAGATATTTTATGCTATTTTTTGTTTTTGAGGCAGAGATGTAAGGGAATTTTTAAATAATACATTTTCAAGGATTTGGAAAGCCATGAGCAACAATTTTGGAAAAATATTTCTTAAGGACTGAAAGTACTCTTATATAAATATTCTTTTAAGGTCTAGCAGAGGTATATGCGTAGATCATTCAAGGACTAGCAAAGCAACAAGTGTGAGTTTTAACGTGTGTTTTAAATACTAGAAGAGTTATATTTTTCAAAGACTAGCAGATCACTAAGCATAGATTTTTAAATAGCTCTGCTCTACTCGATATTTGGTAACAATAGTTACCAAATGTCCTTTGTTTGTTGTTTATTTTGGCGCAAATCAAATGTTTTCTTGAATCAGCTGTTTATTTGCTAAATCTTACTAAATGTTGTCTGTTTACTTTTCTCAGTATTATCGCAAAAGAGAGTAAAAAAGGCTTACTCTCTGAACTAGAACTTACTGAACTAGAACTTACTTACCGTAATAACGGTTATTGAGAAATGCAATAAAATAAAGTGTAATGTAAGAGTTAATCCGTAAATACTGTTTAAATGCTATTTTAAGACATTTTTTTATATTATTTTCGTCAAAAGAATATTGAACGACACATTCGTCGTATTGTAACGACTTTCATCATACCGATTTGTCGTACAAGTGCGACATCATACCCAATTATCAAAACGACAACGCCAACCGTAAAAAGGATGACTGTTTTTTCAATGACTAGCAGATCTTTAAGCGTGGGATTTTAAAAGAATACTTTTTCAACGACTAGAAGATCTATAAGCTTGCAATTTTTTTTAAAAAAACGGGGGTTTTAACGACTAGAAGATCTATAAGCTTGAATTTTTTCAAATATATTTTTTTAAGATCTGCTAGATCTAAAAGAATGGATTTTTTAAATAATATAATATTTTTTTGAGGATTTTAGCCCTGCTTGAGGCTATACTAATACAATAATAAACATCTCAGAAATAGGAGAAATGTCATGTTTTTACGAACTTTAAAATTATAAAAATCTGTCCCTTGAAAAATATTATTTTAAAAAATCACTCTCTTCTGGTCCATGAAAAAATATTCTTTATAAAAATCTCTTTTCTGATCCTTGCAAAAATATTCTTTATAAAAAAACTCTTTATGCGGTCGTTTTTTCAGTCAGTTTTTTTATTCGAGTCGTACTTAATGATCGAACTTTTGCAATGAAAATGTTCATTAAAAATCCACGCCTTGATAAATACTCGTAAAAATCCATGTCTTGCTGTTCCATAAAAAAATATTCTTTAAAAAATCCATGCCTTGCTGTTCCAGAAAAAAAATATTCTTTAAAAATCCACGCCTTATTCTTTCGGAATAGTTCAATTATACAATTTAGGACAATGAAACCTCTTAATTTCAAAAATGTTATTTTTTTCGAAATGTTCAATAAAAATCAAAAAATAACCTTCATTTTGACGGCGATGATATCAATTTGCCAAATTGAGTGGGGCTTTGTTGTTTCTGTTCGATGGCAACAGCTGTTATTACTTGGCTCTTTATAAACAAACACCCCCAATAGGGAGTAGACCAACGATTATTTTAAGGACTCCAAGGGCACAGAAACCTCTTAATTTTAATAATTTTAATTTTTTTCAAAATGTTCTATAAAAATCAAAACATAACCTGCATTTCAACGGCGATGAAATAATTTTTGAGTGGGGCTTTGTTGTTTCTGTTCGGTGACAACAGCTGTTATTACTTGGCTCTTTGTAAACAAACACCCCAAATAGGGAGTAGACCAACGATTCTTTTAACCAATCCAAGAATACTTTATAAAAAAATCAATTCAACAATTGATAAACAAAATTAAGTAGCAAAATGACCGCCGATGAACGTAACTTCCGTTCAAGTTATTATGAAAAAGTCGGTTGTCACAGTGTCGAGGAGAAGAAATCACTGAACAAACTATTGCAGGACAATATACGGAATCATGTTAAATTGAAGCAATTCTGTTTAAGTTATACCGTTCCCACTACACATCGTAGTCTATTGTGGAATATAATATTGGGTGTAATGCCGTTGCATAAAAATTCCACGGAATTTATTATGGATCAACGTAAAGCAGTCTATGATGATCTGTTGAGAGCGGTGACTATAATGCAATATGTAAATGCCTCAACGCCAAAATCAAAAATACTATTAAGTATGTGGCAATTGGAAAATAATCGTCTATTGCATTCCGGACCAGATGATATTGCCGATCAGGTGTTTGCGGAAATTGTTAAGGTGTTGCTGCAAATATTTGAAGATGATGTTGAGACGTATTGGTTGGCAAAGGAATTTTATGCATGTACATTGGATATACAACAGGAATGTCCACGATTGAAAGAGTTGACTCAAACATTACTCAAAAAGGAAGATATTCAGTTGTATAAGTGAGTAAAAAAAACGAAATTAAGTAATTACAACAAATTTCAAAATAACAATTGTATGTTTAAAAAATCCGTGAAATTTGAATTATATATCAAAATTATTTAGTCTGGGTTTATACATGCAACTTTTGTAAGCAACTCTGCTGAGTTCTTAGAAGTGAGAGGTATAAAAAGTGACAAGGGGAAGAAATTCTAAATAGAATCGTAGAGAGCAGCAGCAGATGTGCTAAAAAGTTGCTTGTATAAACCCAGACTTAGTAAATGTTGCGATTTTGTTTTCGAATTCAGATTGCTAGAAAAATTTAGTGGATGTCATGAAGATATTTCCTTTTTTATTTTGTTTTTCAGCCACTTGGATAATTTGGATGTCTTCAAATCTGATCAATTATTAGATAGATGGTATATAACATGTTTTGCTGGTGTCATCAATGAATCTACCTTGGTAAGAGTATGGGATAAGATTTGTGGCGGCTCAAAGAAAATTGTAGTTTTTATATTCTTGGAAATGGCTAAGGCACTGAGCGATAAGGCAATGAAATGTAAAAGTAGCCAAGAGTTTAAGCTGCTAATAGAACAGGTAAGTGGTAGCACTCATTTGATATATTCAACACGTTTTACGATTAGAAAGTACTGGGGTTTTGGAAGGCAGACCTTCTTCATATTGGATATTGCCTTTCGGAAACCCTGAGTATTTTCATCGATTTTTTACAAAACGAAAGTCGAGCAATCGATTTTAAAATAGGTATATTTTCCAACTTTATCAAATCTAAGAACTACCGTAAAAAGGTAGCTCGAAAATCCGATGATTCCAAAAATTAGAATGCTACGGATACCACCCCTCAGGAAACAACAAATTGGAAAGCGAAAATAAAACATTCGAAATAAAAGAAAATTGGACAATAAAGATTAACAAGTGCTAACAATAAATAATGAAGTTCGAACGACTGAACTTTTATAACTCCCAACTTGAAATGGCCTTTCAAAATACGCAGAGTTGTGCAGTGTACCATATAGTCGACAAAGTAAAACTTTGATCCTTTCGTCTTTCTCAATAATTTATAATTTTTTAGTCACATATTTTTATTCTTTGTTTCTTGTGCGTGCTTTTTTTCAGGTCAAAGATCCCGATGCATTAATTGTTAATAAAGCAATTAAAACCTGGCAAAATAGTAATCAACACAGTGAAAAAATAACCGTTCATTAAATTAAGAATAACATTATTTTTTTATATATATTTATAATTTAGTAAGCTAAGCTTTACCCTCAAACAAATTGAAAAACCAATAAACTTAAATATACTTGAAAACAACATCATTTTTGTCTTGTACTGTTTGTAGTTCCAATGTGACCGGACATTGCATCCAATATGAAAGTAGTTCCTCTGTATAACCAATTAGGAAATACATTTTTCGGGCACTAATTGCCTGTCTTACTATACCGGCAATTCGAATCATATTATGTTGACGTTTAATAATAACCTCGGAGCACATCAGCGAATGCCAGGTGCCATTCATAAATTTACGTATAAATAAATCCTCAATGGCTGTCTGCGAGGGACGTAGACCATCCAACATTGTGGCTGAAATTGCAAATGTTATTTAATATTATTAATTGTTAATCAAAATCTCTTCATGGTGACCTACAAGTATTCCAAGAGTTCCATGATTTACGATGGGCAATATAATGTGGAGGATTGGCCATTTCATAGGTAAGCGGTTTGTTACGTTTTGTGGTTATGCGGTAGCGACCCGACTGGGTTTTCTCGCAAACAGCCGTTGTGTGAATGAGAGCAGCGACATATTTTCCATTGGCTACTTGGTCCCTTAATAGGGAAGATGTTAACTACAAATACAATAATAAATTAGTAATATTTTATTTATATTATTTGTGTTTTTTACAAACTAACTTTTTGTAAGGCCAACATCGCTGCTTCACAACTTCAAGTAAATGACAAGAAAGCTAACAGCTGTTAATGACATAACATCAGATAGGGGTGTGTTCAGTCAATGTCTGTTAACGTCAGACCACAATGCAGGCGTTCAGTGTTTGAGTGATTAATAACCCAAATAGAAAAGGAGAATAAAACACATTTAAACAATTTATTCTTAAAAAATTAATTTTAAAAATCGATTTTTTAATTAGGTTTTTTTTTTGCCCGCGATAACACCATTCGCAATTAATTTTCATTATAAAGTTTAAGTTACACTAAAAATACCCTCTCTTCTGAATCCACCTCGCAATGTATAACGGTAACATACAACGCCGTTACCAGCCACATACCATCATTGACAATGTTCAATGTCAATTCAAGTCTTCTTCTTCCCCAATAGAGCTATTCACATTGCCAGACCATGTAGTATATATCAAGAAGAAGTAATAATATGTGCGAATAAAAAATTAGAAACAAAAATAAGTGATGGGTGAAAAAGTTTATTTTTCCCTAAGAATATGGTAAAAAATATTGTGTTTGAGTTCGGATTTGGAAAATATATGTTGCGCCAATTAATATTTACTTAATATTTATATGAAATATATGCTGTTTGGCAGAAGAAAATCGATAAGAAAATTTCAATGAAAAGAAATAAAATCTCAAGTGTGCTAAAAACACTCATTGTCACATACGTGTTATTGTTGTTGCTGTTGTATCTTGTTGCAGTGATCAATGTTGTCAATGTAGCGATTTTTCTATCACTGATGTGTTAATTTTAAACGTGGGAAAAATAATACGAATAATTTGGGTGATTTTTTAAATATATTTTGTTAAACAATTGTAGCTAAAATTATAAATAAATAATTGCAGGTTAAATAAGAAAAAAAAACCAAGTCGAATGGAGCCAGCTATATGATAGGCAACCTCTTCTAAGAATCTTAAATGATATATTTATTGAAATAAAATTAATCGCACATCATTTTATTCCAAATTCTTGAAAAGTGCTAAATCTAAACCGTATTAAATAAATATTGTGCGTGTTAATGGGACAAATTCAGCTATATTGAAACCTAAACAAAAATAAACACACGTCATCGTGGTCTCACGACTATAACATTGGGAGGTAGGGGAGACTGGGGCACCTTCGGCAATCGCGTTTTCGATATGAAGCTCTAACCGTACATCACAAGTTTCGATACATAGGTATCGAATATCGAAATAAATAACTGACACAAAGTTTGAAATTTCTAGCTAATAAACTTATTTAGATACATGGGTTTTTGTATTTTTATAGATGTTTCTGTAATATTTCAATTCCATTTCGTAAGTATTTCGTGTATAAAACTTTTTAAATTTTTAAGACAATATTATTAAAAAGTGGTTAACTACGATGTGTATTATTATAGTAATTTTTAAAAATCTAATGTTTTTACAAAACTGATCGAAAAAAATGAAAAAAACTATTAAAAGTACATTCGGGGTACATTCGGCATTTTAAAGTGGGGCACATTCGGCCATATACAGATTGTGCAATATTATTTCCTTAAAATGTTTTTGAGTTTGTCTTTAAAACTAATCCTTTAATATGGTTCGAAATTGCATATATAAGATCAAACGTGCTTGTATTGACGAAAATGCGATAGAAAACCTCTATTTCTGATAGTTTATGCGACCTTGAGATGTAAACGTCCGCCGCTAGAAAATAAAGTCCTATAATTCAAACATTGTGTGGCGTATTGAAACCAAATAGAGCCTTTAGAGGATCAGAATTTCAACCAGACTGATAGCGATGACAATTACCCGGCTATGACTATGGTGCCGAATGTGCCCCATCAAATGCCGAAGCTACCCCGGGTTGGGGCACATTCCTCGAATTTGACTTTTTTTACAAAACTGTAAAATTTTGTCACTAATACTATTCTTTTTTTATATCTTTTTGGTACTATTTTTTATAATTAAGTGTCAGAGGACAATAATCAGCCATAAAGTTGTTATATATGTTGAATAAGTACTGAGATATAGAGCTCTAAAAAAAGTGCCGAAGGTGCCCCAGTCTCCCCTACATCTAAATCTGAACTTGATACACGTCAATCTGGACTCAATTCAGTTACGATATGCGAATTCCCTATCAAACTGGAAAACCTTGGATATTTGGTGCACACTTTTACTCGAAATCGGGCGAAATTATACATGGTAGCTAATCTAAATCCTAACCGTTTTAAAGCAGTCGCCCAATCGGACAAAATTTAAATATTTTAGCTATATCAAAATCTAAACCAATTTAAAGCAAACTTGACACACGATCCAATTTTGGACTTTATTTACTATTTTTCCTTTGAATTATTTTGTAATTTTTTTCTATACCAGATATCGTTAATAATTACTAATCATTTCTAGTGACCACCTTTATGAGCCATTTCGATTTAAATGTTTAATAAATATTAAAAATAATATAATGAAAGGTATAACATAAGCAACAAAGGTTATCTGCACATTTCAAAAAATTATATTGCTTTGCATAATATTCAAGAAAAATGTTTTATTATCATTTTTTATTCTTTTACTGGAAAATTAACTATTGTATTGTAAATAATTACATTCAAGTTTCTTCTCTCTTTTTTTTCAGATATTTCAAATAACTAATTACAATACAAAGCATTCCATTTTGTAACACAAACATACACACAAGCCTTATATTATTGCCAAAAAAATACTTTTTTGTTGTTATTTTTTCTACTATGGAACAAGAAATCGGTACTTGGGATTCTGTATTATTGGAAAATCTTTCAGAAGATAGTTTCATTAATAATATACATCAACGTTACAAACGTGATCTCATATATGTAAGTTGTGTTTTGTTTTTTTTTTTTTTTTTTTATAATCATTTTTGAAATTAATATAAATATGTTAATTTTGCAGACTTATATAGGCACTTCCGTGGTGGCTGTAAATCCATATCATCACATATCAGAAAATTCGTTGGACCTAATACATAACTATGGTAGTAAAGGCATATTTCAATTGCCTCCACACATGTAAGTTATATATGATTTTTGTTTGAAAATTCGAAAAAGAAGTAAATGTGTTTGGTTTTTTTCTATTTCAGTTATGGCCTTGCAAATTTATCATTTCAATCACTTAAGGATCGAAATGAGGATCAGTGTATAATTATGACGGGTAAGGAAATATATATGATACATAATACAACTATTGATAGTGGATACAAGACTTGATAGGTGTTCCAAGAATTATACTTCAAAAATACCACAAGGCGTGGTATTTTTTTAAATTCACACATTTACGATTTCATTAATTAGTTTTTTTTTAATTTCATTAACAGGTGAAAGTGGATCCGGTAAAACCGAATCTTTTAAAATGATTGTCAATTTCCTAACACATATTCAAGAAAAATCTAAAAGATCATCGTCTCTAAGCAAACAATCGTCGGTTGGTTCTGGCGGTGCAGCAGCAGCAGTAGCGGCATCAGGTTGTGGGTCATCGTCTCACAAACATCGGCGCACATCCAGTTCTTGTTCAATGGGGCCGACAACGTTAAGCTATTTACCAAATAAGAGTACAATTACTGCCGCCAATTCCAATTCATGCCTACTAATGCAACAGCAGCAACAACAACGTAGACAAACCCCGTCTCCAGGACCAACAACAACAACAAAATACTGTGATGCAGCTGTACAGCATAGAGCACGTGCCGAAAGCTCAGATCGTCATGGGAAACGTAGCATGAGAGAGAAAATGGTTGAATTTGATTTTTCACATCACAAAAGTACCGAAAATATTTCAACTTTAGATAGTTCAAATATATACACCACAACCATGGCCGCCGGCAACACGTCTGCACATTGTGGCCAACAACAATTGTCAACCACGTTTGGTATCACCCTGTCACCTCATCCACCAAAATCATGTTTCAAACATCATCAATCTACACAAATTCCCCATAAATCCGCCTCAACATCCAAATCTTCCTCAACTATTTATTTACCTCGTAGTACTTCGCCTAAGTATTTGCAATCGTTCACTGGTGGCGGTTGTCGCCAATGTGGTCATAGCAAATGTACCCGTGCTCAAAGTTTCGACAAAGATGATGGCGACATAAGTATATCATCAGCATCACAACCGGGCAATTATAGTCTATCAACAATGTCATCGGCCCACCTACAACGTGGCAGTTGTTCAAATCTAACCAAGCAAGGCTTATCCGATTGCTGTAATCGTGACGAAAATACTCAGCTATCTGGTTCAATGCAACGCATTTCATTATATGATGCCCACAAAATAAATCAATCGGCCATAAATGCCTTGAAGCTATGGCAGTCATCTCCGGTAACACCAAGAAAACAGAAAAATCCTTTGAAGCGTTTAAGAGAATGTGTCTCATTTGCTGATGTTTTTCTTGAGGCAATGGGCAATGCGGTTACTTTGAAAAATAACAATTCTAGTCGTTATGTAAGTGGTGGGCATTTGTTACATATTAAATATGTTTTGTATTTAATTAATATTTTTTTTTTTGTTTTAGGGAAAACTTTTTGATATAGAAATTGATTTTAAGGGCGATCCAATTGGTGTTCACATAACTCATTGTAAGTATATTTTTTGGTATCTATTATAAATAAAATGTCATACTTTTATGGTATATTATTAGGATTTTTTTAATCAACTATCAAAATTTGTTTAAAAAATAATGAATCTACCATAAAACAATTTCAAAATATACTTTATACTTTAATATAAATATTAACAATTATTTATATTTTTTTTCTTCATATTTTCTACTCATGCTTACATTTAAAGATATGTTGGAAAAGGTTTGAAATAATTTTTTTTAATTTGAATTTCTTTTATTTGTTTAAGATTTTTACAGACGAAATATTTAAAAAACCACGCTTTTTGTCCTGAAGGACTTTGAAAAAAGTTTTTTTTTTAGAAAATTGTCTTTGAGGAAAATATTCTTTAAAAAATTCACGCTCATTGTCCTTAAGGCCCTTGAAAAGATATTCTTTAAAAAATGCACCTGTATTGTCCCTGAGGGCTTGAGAAAATATACTTTAATTTAAAATCCACTTGTATTGCCCTTGAGGTCCTTGGAAAAACATTATTTTAAAAACATTATTTTTTGTTCTTGATGTCATTGAAAAGATATTCTTGAAAACATCGAAGCTTAATGTCCTTAAGCTTCTTAGAATAATATTACTTTAAATTATTCATGCTACCGCCCTTGATGTCCTTGGAAAAATATTCTTTAAAAAATTCTCGATTACTGTCCTTAAGATCCTTGGAAAAATATTCTTTAAAAATGTTCATGCTATCGCTCTGGAGGTCCTTGGAAAAATATTCTTTAAAAAATCCACGCTGAAGTCCTTGGAAAAATATTCTTTAAAAATATTCACGCTATCGCCCTTAAGGTCCTTGGGAAAATATTCTTTAAAAATATTCACGCTATCGCCCTTAAGCTCCTTGGCGCAGAGTGAAAATCTGGAATATCTGAATAGTTCGGCTGGTAAACCATCGGCACCTGCTGCTTTATTATTCTTCAGACGATTGATTGCTATTCTGACTTCATCTTGGCTAGGTTGTATACACTCTATACCGTCATCTATTATTGGTTCTGAGGTATCCTCTTCATCGCTACTATTTGAAACCAGAAGTTCTTGAAAATGCTCCTTCCAGATCTTCAGCAGGCTGTTTTGAAAGAAATGAGATTCTTTTAAAAATATTCTTTAAAAAAATTCACGCTTATTGGTTAGGAGGTCCTTGGAAAAAATATTTATTGATCAGAAAGTCCTTGAAAAAATAAGGCTCTTTTTTCTTATTCTCCTGCCAGATGTAATGATTCCGAAAAAATACTAATTTTATTTTTTCATTACAGACACGTGTTACTGATGTTTCTTCCGGGGAAAGAAATTTCCATATATTTTATCAGTTATTGGCCGGTGGCGATTTACAATTATTAAGTAATGCATACATTTACATACATATATAAAATAATACGTTATAATAATATACCAATTTTATAATTTTTAGAATCCTTAAAATTATATCGTAATGTTGAAAAATATGATATTTTAAAAAATACAACTGCCTTGGAAGAAGATCGTACTAATTTTCACTATACCAAAGTAAGTATAAATATCCCACGATTATTTTTTTATTTTATTCATTTATTTTATTTATGATTAATTGTTTTTTATAGAAATCATTAGATGTGCTGGGTTTATCTTGTGATGACATAAATTCAATATTTCGTATTATAGCAGTCGTATTGAAATTAGGTAATTTTATATTTGTACCCATAACAAACATTGATGGCACCGAGGGTTGTCAAATATCAAATATTTATGGTAAGTCCTTTTTGTGTACGCCCAATATTGAAACTGTTATACTACATATTTTATTTTGTAACTCCCCATTTACAGAAGTAGAAGAAACCGCTCATTTACTTAATTTAGAAGCTCAAATTTTAATTAATTGCCTTACAAGAGCGTCTAGCTCAAATAGCAGTTTGGAAGATGTCGGTAAGCAGCAGGAAATTATACGATATGAATAAATATTTAAATTCATGGCTTTCTTTACTTTAGGTTGCGAATTGGATGCTCGCCAAGCATCTATGACCCGTAACACACTGTGTCGCACTCTATATTCCAGACTTTTCACATGGCTGGTGAATAAAATCAACGATAGCCTCAAATCGACGCAACGTGAAAAGAATTTAGCCTTGTTAGATTTTTATGGTTTTGAATCGATGGAACACAATTCCTTCGAACAATTCGCCATTAACTATAGTTCGGAGAAAATTCATCAAAACTTTGTGCACAATGTTCTGAGAGTCGAACAAGAATTGTATGTTCGTGAGGGACTTGAATGGTCGCGAATTGATTATTTTGACAACGAGTCGATATGTGAATTGATTGATAAACCCAATTATGGTATATTGAGTTTAATCAACGAACCGCATTTGACGACCAACGAAGCACTATTGACACGCATCCAACAATGTTGTGCTGGGCACCCGTGTTTTATGATAGCCCAGCCCAATTCGATGACATTTCGCATACGCCACTATGCCAATGTCGTGCAATATTCGGTTCATAGATTTTTAGAGAAGAATTCCGATACGCTGCCAAAGTACTTAAGTTCAGGTTTATATCAAAGTAAACTGCCACTCGTACAAAGTCTTTTTCCGGAGGGTAATCCACGGAGACAAGCCAACAAAAAGCCCACCACGTTAAGTTCCAATATACGCACTCAATTAAATACTTTATTAGCCATTATTAAGCCACGATGTTCACGTTATATATTTTGTATTAGGCCAAATGAATGTCGTCAATCACGTACGTTTGATATGTCGCTGGTGCAGCATCAGGTGCGTTATATGTCGCTGATGCCGTTGGTGTATCTTTGCCGCCAGGGCCACTGTTTTCATATGCTACATGCGAAATTTTTCCTACGCTACAAACTTTTAAGTGCCAAAACATGGCCGCACTATCGTGGCGGTAAATGTGTTGAGGGCATCGCCCTAATAATTCGCAATCTTCCATTGCCATCAGCTGAATTTACAATTGGCACAAAAAATGTTTTCGTTCGTAGTCCGCGAACCGTTTATGAATTGGAACAATTTCGCAAAGGACGTATGCATGATTTGGCCACATTGATACAGACCACATTTCGTATGTATCGGGAGAGGAGTAGATTTCTACGATTGCGTTCAAGTCAAATAACAATAGCAAGGGCTTGGAGGGCGTTTAGGGTAAGAAAGAAAATATCGAGAAAAAATATTTTAATTAAAATAAACGTAACCCATGCCTTTATAGTTTGTCTACTTTCAGTCACGTGAGCAATATCGCACCGTTAAATACAAGCGAAGAGGTAATTGGGCCGCCGAGATTATAGCCAGAGCTTATATTCTATACAAAACTCGCCAATTTCTTTTGACAATACCTCAAAAATTACCACCAAATTCGTTAAGTCCGCTTTCGATGGATTGGCCGGCAGCACCATCATTCCTGGAGGAGACATCACGTTTATTGCGTGCCATCTATCATCGTTGGAAATGTTATTTATATCGTAGTTCCTTTGATCAGACATCGAGAAATCGTATGCGTGAAAAGGTCACCGCCAGTATTATATTTAAAGATCGCAAAGCTTCCTATCCGAGGAGGTATTTCAAAAATATATTTTTTTTAATGGGTAATCTGTAACGCCATGAATTCTATTTTTTTTTTCTAGTGTGGGCCATCCTTTTATTGGCGATTATGTGAGATTACGACCAAATGCCATGTGGAAACGAATGTGTTCAGAAACCAATGATCAGTATGTTGTATTTGCTGATATTATAAATAAGATAACAAGATCAAGTGGTAAGGTGAGTAAACATTTTCAATTTATTTTTTCAATATGAATACTGAATTGGATATATCTAAAATGGACTGATATTTGCACTAGAAGATAAATATATAAAAAACATTTCCAACACCATTTGAAACTATATAATGTTATAATGGTAGGAAAAGGGGCTAATATTATGGACGGTATCATTATATAGTACTTGCTAACTCACTTAGCTGGCTTGTTACAGAACGGTTGTTCCATAAGCCGAGCTTATAAAATATTTGCAAGCGCGTCGGTCTTTTGCGCATCTCCTCCAATTTGAAAGACCCTGCTGCGAAATTTTGTCTTCTACTTGGTTTTTCCATCTAATTCGTGGCCTTCCCCTTCTGCGCGAACCATGAGTAGGATCGCTTTTATATGCCTTTTGAGCAGGGCATTCTCATTCGTCGATGTCCGCGTATAGATTGTAAAGCTCGTAGTTCATTCGATGCCGATATCATCACCATCCTTCTCAGAATTTCAAAACTGATGACATTAGTTTTATTTATGGCGGTACCAAGGGATATAAAATCTTTAACTACCTCGAAGCTGTAGTTCACAAATTCCACAGTTGATCCGAGTCTATTGGACGTCTTGCGCCTTGATGCCATTTACTGCCAGACCTACTTTGGTAGACTCCTTCTGAATTTTTTCAAAGGTGGCTGTTACCGCTCGCAATGATTTGGCGCAGAGTGAAAATGTGGTCAATGATGGATTTGCCAGGTCTGAAGCCACATTGGTATGGTCCAATAATGTCATTGATCATTGGCTTCAGTCGTTCACACAGCACGCAGGATAGCACTTTATAAGCGATGGGAAGGGGACTTATTCCCCTATAGTTGTCTCCTTTTTTGTGTACGGGACACAGGATGCTGAAGTTCCAATCATTGGGCATGCATTCCTCTAGCCAAATTGTATTAATCAGCTGGTGCATGTTCCTTACCAGCATCTGACCACCAGTCTTGAATAGTTCGGCTTGTAACCTATCGGCACCTGGTGCTTTATTATTCTTCAGCCGATTGATTTCTATTCTGACCTCATCTTGGCTAGGTGGTATACAATCTATACCATCATCCATTATTGGTTCTGGGATATCCTCTTTACCGCTACTATTTGATACCAGAAGTTTTTTCAAAATATTCAGCACGCTGTCTGTATCTGTCACCAGGTTTCCTTCTTCATCTATACAGGAGGATGTGCCTGCACTAAAGCCTTTGGTTTGGTGTTTTACTCGTTGGTAAAATTTTGGACTTCATTCTTACTCCTGTACATCACGCTTTGCTCACGCTCACGTTTTTCTTGTTCTTTCTTCTTTTTTTCTGAAAATACGTTTCTCCTCTCTGCTTTTCTACCAATAATTCTCCATCGCATTACGTGTTGCTACTGTCTGCAGGGCTGCCCTATACGCTGCGTTTTACACATCAGTAGCATTACGACACTCCTGGTCGTACCAAGGGTTTCTTAATGGTGATTTTTGGTACCCAAGTGTTGCTTTTGCTGCAGTTTGTAGGGAGTGGGAAATGCTCTGCCACTGTGCTTTTATATTATTATCGGGACAATGGGTACTTTCGTCAAGTAGTTGGGTAAGTTGAGCGGAGTAGGCTTCTGCTATGTGTTGTGTTTGCAGCTTTTCGACGTCAAATTTCCGTTTTACATTAGATCGCACCTATGCTGCTACATTAAGACGGGTGCGTACCTTGGCTGCTACAAGGTAATGGTCCGAATCGATATTCGCTCCCCGGATCGGACGTCTAAAACACTGGATGAATGCCTTCCGTCTATCGCAACATGATCGATTTGAATTCTCGTTGTTCGATCGGAGAAATCCAAGTGGATTTCTCCCGATCGAATCTGGTGCTAGTTAGCAGCATGTTTTTTGCTGCTACGAAGACAATCAACTTCATGTCGTTGTCGGATGTTTCTTCATGGAGGCTTAATTTTCCGACGTAGGGGCCAAATATATTTCCCTTCCGATTTTTGCATTAAAACCTCCTAGCAGAATTTTAATGTCATGGCCAGGGCAGCGGTCATATGCTGTTTCTATGCGCTCGTAAAATATGTCTTTGGTCTGCTCATCTATGTCTTCGGTCGGAGCATGTGCGCAAGGAAGACTGATGTTGAAGAACTTCTTTTTTATACGGATGGTAGCAATTCGCTTATCTACTGGAGTGAATCTGAAGCCTGGGCTTCACCATGTTAAAGCCAATCGGAGCCGTTGCTTGGTATCTTCCATTCCCTACGCCACCCTCATTATATAGTGGATATACCATTTTGGAATTTAATATATATATATTTAAATTTCTTTCTTTATTTTTTCACTCAAGATTGTGCCTATTTTATTGGTCATATCCACATCATCATTATTGTTACTGGATCAGAGAACATTACAAATAAAATATCGTGTGCCTGCTGCAGAAATTTATCGTATGTCACTTAGTCCATATATGGATGATATAGCTGTATTTCATGTGAAAGCTGTAAGTTTGAGATTTATATACCGAAAATATTCCCAAAAAATAACAACTAACTACTTCTCTTCTGTATCTCTACAGTCTGAATTTTGTCGCAAAAAAGGTGATATAGTTGTTCAAGCGGCTCACATTATCGAAATAGTTACGAAAATGTTTTTGGTTATACAAAATGCCACGGGGAAACCGCCTGAAATACATATTAGTACAGAGTAAGTAAAGTTGTTATTTATTAAAAATTTATATAAGCAACATTCTAAACACTATTATATTTTGCACTATTCCCAGTTTTGAAGCGAATTTTGGCCAACAAACTGTTATATTTAATTTTAAATATGGCGGTATGTCGGATCTTGCACAAGGACCACCAAAGGTTACTAGAAAAGCTAATCGTATGGAAATTATTGTATGATCCGCAACTAAAAGTTATCGTTGGACATCGTTGACATTTTTAAATGCCTATGAATTAGATGCAAGGGCAAAATAAACCAAAAACCCACATGTTTCCTCTGGTTCCAAACGAACAATTTCCCATATTTAAGGCAAAGAAAAATCTTTAGAATCTCAATAACTCCTGATAACATACTCACACCAACATACACACAAAAAAACCTGACAATCATACAGATTTCATTTAACATACTATATATTTAATATCTATGTATCTATATATTGAAACATATTGCTTCAATTTTTTGTCTCTATAATTTATGAATTATATACGGAAGGTGGGTAGACAAGATGGGGGATAAATTGTAATTAGTTTAAAATACACTAGTACGTACAAATTAAATTTGACATTTCTTCTTGGCTTCTTCCGGAACATGCGAAACCAAAGGCTAATCTGAATTCCTTCTCGCCGATCATTTGCAGTCCTCATACGTATTACTGGCCGTAACAAAATGTCCTCCCATGCGCCTTCTAATTGCTTGCTCCAAATTGACTTTGGAACTCTCAGTTATGACTTCAATTCCCTCTGTAGCCGCCTTCCTCAGAAGTGATGGCTTGACGGCTTTAAACGTACCCACATCAAAGGGGGAAATATTTGACGTTCCCTATCGAATATAGGGTGGAGTACTGATGCCAGCGACCTCAGCATTGCCCTCTTCGTCATCCCATATATCGGCTAGGATTTGCCTTGGCAGCTACTTCCCCACTGCTGCGATGGATGGGGGTGGTCTCCAATTATGGTATTCACGTGATATTGCTCTACTGACTGAGCGACTGCGTCCGTGTGCTGCCGGCTAGTGACTGCTTTATCGCATAAAGCAGTGGCTTGCGCAGACGACTTGAAACGGCTGTCGAACTTTACTCCCAGTATCTTGGGGTAGTTGGTGGCCGTAATCAGTTCTTCATCGACCATTATATTGAGTAGAAGCTTCATTTCAGCCGGTCATGTGGCGAACAGCGTGGCTGTTGATTTTGTGGCAGATATTTTCATATTCCTCAGATGGAGAAATTAACAAGAAGTTTAGCCTCTCACATATATCATCAATAATGGGACACGACGCCATGATCGCACAATCGTTGATTATCCAACGTTTCAAATACGGTCGGAGATCTGTCTTCTCTATATTTTCGAACAGCTTGGCATGATTGACGGTATCGATGGCCTTCGATAGATCAAATGCCACCATAACTGTTCTGTTACCCGGCCTGTTCTGGTTGAGTCCTCTGCTGTTGTTGTGCTATGCCTCTTACGGAATCCATGTTGGTGTTGGGCAACTGGAAAACTGCTTCTCAATGATGTGAGGAGTAGCGCCTCAAGTGTCTGTGCTACCGGCGACAGGAGTGAAATCTGCCTGTACGATTCACCCCTGCTGGCATCCTTGCCAGGCTTCATTAGCGGGACCACCCTGCCTATTTGCAAGGCTTCAGGAACTATGTCGGTGGTTAACGACAAGTTGAGGGCTGATGTTAAGTACTCAACTCCGTGTTCATCCATCTGCTTAAGCATTACCATGGATATTCTGTCCGGGCCCAACGCTTTCGATGACTTAGCGTTATTGACATCTGCGACGTCCTCCTTCGTAAATTGTGGTGGTAGCACACTCCTTTTCGCCCTGTCGCTCTCGGGGTGCTCTATGAATTGCCGTTTAAAATAACTCGTGCACCTCTTCGGGTCTGTCACAGTTACGTCGTTAAATGTAACAGCCGTCCTGTCATCCTTCCTTCCAGGATTTGAGAGTGACTTAATCGGGTATTCGATTCGCAGGTATAATGGGAGCGGCAGCTGTAGCGATGATTTTCCGGAAATTCCTCTCAGCTACCCGTGGATCTGAGGGAATGGACAGCTCTCTGAAGCGGTAATTGGTAAACTCTCTGAAGCCAGCCCAATCAGCTTTCCCATGGTTCAGGAAAGTACTTTCAGATGTTATGAAATCTGGTGGTGTGTGGACGGCGACTATGATCGGAAGGTGTACCTGAACATGTACCTGTGCGTCGATTATAGGTGGCGCTCTTGACAGTAGTGGGCATCCTGTATGCAATCTGTCCGTAAGAGTGCTTGTAATTATATTATATGTCGGTGGTTAACGACATGTTGAGGGCTGGTGTTAAGTACTCAACTCCGGGTTAATCCATCTGCCTAAGCATTACCATGGATATTCCGTCCGGGCCCAACGTTTTGGATGACTTAGCGTTATTGACATCTGCGACGTCCTCCTTCGTAAATTGTGGTGGTAGTACACTCCTTTTCGCCCTGTCACTCTCGGGGTGCTCTATGAATTCCCGGTTAAAATAACTCAGGCACCTCTTCGGGACTGTCACAGTTACGTCGTTAAATGTAACAGCCGTCCTTTCATCCTTTCTTCCAGGATTCGAGAGTGACTTAATTGGGTATTCGACCAGCAGGTATAATGCGAGCAGCAGCAGTAGCGATGATTTTCCGGAAATTTCTCTCAGTGGTAATTGGTAAACTCTCTGAAGCCAGGCCAATCAGCTTTCCCATGGTTCAGGAAAGTACTTTCAGATGTTATGAAGTCTGGTGGTCTGTGCGTCGATTATAGGTGGCGCTTTTGACAGTAGTGGGCATCCTGTATGCAATCTGTCCGTAAAAGTGCTTGTAATTGTATTATAAATTAAAATGACGGGTGGATGTACACATTTTGCCCCTAGCCGATATATGGTATCCTAAAGGATATATTTTAATAGACTCTGCTCATATTTCACAAACTCTTGGGAAGAAATCCTGCCGGATGTGGAATAGACATTACATAAAATTTAAATTTGTTGATGTTGATATCAGTCCTATGGTTTTTACACAGTGGACTGAGATGATAGTCTTGGGGAGAAACTTGTTGTTTTTTCAACCACCGAATGATGTCTTAAATACAAGTTACATACATAGTTGTATTATAGTGATCATGGGTATTTGGTATTTACAATAGGCTTTTTCGGTAATTATTTATAATAGGCTGGTTCCTTATTCTGTTTTACCACAATATATATATATATATACATATTAAATTGCGTACTAGTGTACTATGTACGTACTAGTGTATATTCTTGTAGGCGAAATGAATTTTAGATGCGATCTAAAGTACTTTACCACCACCTCTCTGATAATACACCTTAAATGTATGGTAATAAATATCTAAAAAATTTGTGACATTTTATACATATTGTATAATAACAATTAGGAGTTTATATATTTACACCATTATTAAGAAAATAACTCAGTTGAATAAGTTTGTTATAAGAAAAATTGATTTTTACAAATAATTTACAAGCATACAGTTCAATTGTATTAAATAAGAAAACAATAACAACAAATGAAGGGAATCCACAGCAATAGATTGTATTATTATTTCGAATATTATTTTTCCTACAATCGGTTTCAAAATGCATACATATAATATCCAAAATCAATATCAACACAACACAATGCTACAGTATGTTTGCAAACTAAAAAAAGCGATATAAAAACTTTATGAAATTTAGTCAGTAGACTTCAAAGTGGATCCACATACTTTTCCCCATTGTTCGATAAGGTAAACTAAACTACAATATAACCTCCATTAAAAAGAAAAACATAATTTTATTTACTGTAGCATGGTGTAATCTTGGCTTCAACAATTTTTGAACATTTTTTTCTACAGTCCCTCTTCTCGATTTTACTAATATTTGTACAGTCTTATATCGAAACAAACAAAAAAAGCAAAATTACAATAATTGTAAACGGAACAATACAAACAAAAAATTTCAAAAAAAATATATACAAAACTGTTAATAATTTACCTTCAAAAAATAAAAAAAAATCTCTATTTATAAAAAGAAAACAAAAGTTGAAATATTCACACAAAAAGAAATATATTTATATAATAAAAATTACAATGAAAGTTAATAAACCATAATAAATATATTAGAGAAAATGAAAACAAAAAATAAAACGTTAATAGTAAAAATGTGTGACATTAAAATTAGAAATTGTAAAACATTTTTCGAATAGACGAATCTTAATATTATTTCTTCAATTTCATTATTTAATTGTATTCTTCATATCTATTTCTTATGGTTTAAGTTCTGTTCATCGATTTCGGGTAGCCTCCATCTAATAGGTTTTAGACTTTCATTCCGCAATTTGAAGCTGTCCTTTGAGTGTAGTGTAGACCGCCTCAACCCTGACACAGGCCAACTATACTCAAGCCATGAGCTGCCTGCTGATATCAACTAGATGTTTAATGTTTCGCCTTTGGACCGCTCTATATATAGATCAAAAATATCTATACTGTATATCAATGTACATTCGCATGTTTTAATGTATATCAATTACATTCGCATGTCACACAAGTACCGTATAGCATAACACTCCAGTAGGTGGTGGTCGGGTAGTGGATACGTCTGGTACATAACTAATGGTTTCCATTACTCTCTGTCTGGTTGTCGGGTAGTGGATACTTCTGTTACATTATTAATGGTCTCCATTACTCTCTGTCTAGGCTAAATAGTTCTTCGACTGTTTGTTTTTACAGTTAAAAACCGTTATCCCTTTGTATAAAGTAAACTGACCAAACCGAACCTTCTGACGATCACCTACTTCAATCAGGAAGAACTTCTTCGACTGACAACCAATTAGTTTCATTGAAACCAGAGGGGAACCGTGCATTCAAAGCAATTTTCTAGCTCCACGTTCTGCACGGTAAATAAGGAGGCCCCATCAGAATAAGGTGAGAGTGTTACAGTTTGCCAGACATTTGCCATTGTGTCACCGGGTCTAATAAATGACGTCAACTGGCAGCCTGCCATCTCTCTTGGCTCAGAACACCTCCTCATAATCGTCTCCATCAGCAGACCATCCGATTCTTTCTTTCCTTAACCATAGGAAAGCCAACTGGTAAGGATTCAGAGAGTTCACCAACCAGCGCTTCAGAGAACATTCCCGTCCTTCTGATGTACGGGTAGCAGAAAAATAATTCCGGGAAATCTTTGCAGTTGCAGTCATTAGATTTATTTCTGCTGGTTGAATTTCCGAGATGAGACC